ACTAACACAAATACTAATACACAAACACGGACAACAACACCTAGCCTATACAAAGCCCTACGTTAATCTACAAGTAACACACAATGACTAAATTAAACTATACTCACGCAACTAAACTACCTGACTACCTGTGACTACACTAGAAACGCTACGCTAAAGAACTAACTAAATACTAAGCTAATAAATTGCTAACCTGAAAATCGATGTAAAATGCTCGCTCACAATTCCAACTCCAACTCGCTACGGGGGCGTGTCAGAGACCCGCGGGCTTTATAGCAGAGGCTCAGGAAGACCTGCGTCACAGAGAACTAGGGAACTCAAGAGCCAATGGAGAGTCCAGGAACGAAATTCAAATGTAGTGACACGGAAAACCATAGAGAGGGCGCCACACAGACGGTTTAGGCTCAAAAGTGAGATTTTAACTAATTTGGATTAAAATGTCAAATATATGGCCAGGACATGTAGGGAGCACTATAGGAAACATATTTAGGCAGTGTATAAGTAAAAAAAAGTTGATTTGGTGTTTAGTTACTCTTTAAGTACAGCGCGCGTGCCAGGTGCTTCATTAGCATAGGTACTTAGCATAAGTAACCGCCCATTAATAAGGGACTGCAGGGCCGTGTGCAGACGGCAGAGGAAACAGCAACAGGCCTAAAGCAGGCTTTTGCCAGACTGAGAATAAAGTTATAAAATGTTGACTTAAAAGTCGAAATATTATGATAATAAAGTCGAACTAGCAAAATTATGAGATTAATCTAAGAATATGATGAGATTAATCTCAAAATGTTATGATCTTAATTTAAAAATATATTATGTATTATTTTAAAGATTAATCTCAAAATATTTTGGACCCTGGGAGGAGATCCAGCGCGGACCAGCGCTGAGACCAATGCAGACCCGAGGAGAGACTGGAGTGACCAGCACACAGAAACCAGCGCGGACAGGAGAGACCGCATAGACTGGAGTGACCTGACTGGAGAGACCGGTGCACAGAGACCAGCGCGGACCGAAGAGAGACCGCATAGACCAGACTTGAGAGACCAGCGCGGACCCGTAGGATCCAGGAGCATGCAGCACGGACCCGTATGGAGAGACCAGCGCAGACCCGTCTAGAGCCATGGGAGAGACCAGTGCAGACCCGTCTAGATCCATGGGAGAGACCAGCGCAGACCCGTATAGATCCATGGGAGAGGCAGTGCAGACCCGTATAGATCCATAGGAGAGACCAGCGCAGAGACTCAGCGCGGACACAGTAACCTCCTGCAGCAGCAGTATATATGCCGTTGTTCTGTGGCCCGTGGATAAAGAAATGCCCCCTATAAATAGGAAGGGGTCACTAATACACGGCAAGATTTCCAATGTATTTGATAAAGCGTTGGCACATTTCATTTCAAAATGAATTAAAAAGTAGGCCAGATCTGCAGTGAAAAAGGCGGTATATAAATAAAGATTACTACAAATAAATAAATACATACATCGATATGACGGACATATCACTGGAATGTTGTATTTTTATTCAACTTCACCAAAGAGGACAACCCCGGCGTGTGAACATGTCGGCACTGAATGCGTACGAGTGCTCCTGAGGACTCGTAGGATTTGTACTTGCCCAAGTCAAATTCTGGTTACGAGAAATATTCGTGAATGCCACTTTCTTCGTAAAAACCGCGTAAGTAGGATTTACGTACAAATCTGTTCCTAAGAACCGTTCGTGAATGAGGCCCAATGCTTCTAACTGGACTTTACTTAAAGCTGAGGTCCGTAGCTTTCAAACCACTCTGTAATAAACCCATGTTTCTATTTCCTGGTTCTGAAAGAAAATGTTGTGGTCTGATTTGTTCATAACATTTTACTTTTACAAGACTCTTTTTGTTGCATGGTCTCTCTGGTCCCACTCTCTAGTCTCTCTCTCTGTGTTCTCTCTCTGATCTTTTTCTGGTCCCCCTGTTGTGTTTTTTGGTCTTTCTATCTCTGTGGCCTCTCTTATGGTCCCTCTCTGGTCTCTCTCTCTGTGGGCTCTCTCTCTGGTCTCTCTGTTTGTGGTCTCTCTGTGGGCTCCTTCTCTGGTCTCTCTCTGTGGTATCTTTCTTGTCTCTCTCTAGTCTCTCTCTCTGGTCTCTCCCTCTGGTCTCACTCTGGTCTACGGTCTCAGGATTAGACCAGGATTATAACCAGTCTGTGACCGGCAGTCACCTCACAGCCACTCACAGGAAGCCAGCGCACAGTACTTCCTGTGCACCTCCTGTCCACTTCCTGACAGAACAGGAAGAGATGATCAAATCACAACTACAAAGATTAGGATTTTAAAACTATAGTCAGCAGAATCTATTGTCACTTTGTTATAGTAGTCTTGGTCCTGGTGGTCTTGGTCCACATGGTCCTGGTCCATGGGACCTGGTATTGAAGCCTGGGACCAAATTTGTCGATCCAGGGCAACAGTGGGAAAGGTTGGCGTTTGGTTTGGACCCGTATCGGCTTTTCGCAGGGAAGACGGGAACATATCGTGATAAAAAGAGTCAAAACATCTTTTTACTTTCAGAATAAGTCACAGTGTGAGTAACCAGGACCAGAGAGAGATCAGAGAGAGACCAGACATAAACCAGAAAGACCAGAGAGAGCGACCAGAGAAAAACAACAGAGAGAGAGACCAGAGAGAGCCCAGAGAGCCCAGAGAGAGAAACCAGAGAGACGGACTGGAGAGACCAGAGAAAGACCAGAGAATAGAGCGCGAGACCAGAGAGAGAGAAGTGAGAGACCACTTTTCTACACCTGTATAAAGAGCCTTCTAACCTCTCCCTCTGAGCCTCATGTAAACAGCGTCTGTATAACTGCTGTTTCCCTGCTGTGACTGATGCTCCCTGCTGTAATCCAGTTGTTTATGGATCGATGCTGATGTTGCCCCCACTTTAGCTCTAATGTCTTCAACAATATTCACCCTTTTATCAGATTTCAACTCTGAAAACTGCAGCGCAGCGAGAAGAGAGGTTAGAGAGGCAATCCACGACCTGAACTGAGCCCATTCTGGTCCATGTCACAGTCTCAGCAGTCATGAGGGAGTTTGATAAAGGAGCATAAAAGCAGAGGGTATGGGGAGATGTCCCTGTTATCAGTGTGAATGGGGCTAAGCACAACTGCAGGTGTTTGACTGATGAGGAAGAGTGTGTGTGAGTGTGTGTGTGTGTGTGCGTGTGCGTGTATGTGGCACAATGTCAGAAAATGGAGAGAGATCAGAGAGACCAGAGAGAGACCAAAGAGAGACCATATAGCGACACCAGAGAGAGAGACCAGAGAGAGACCAGAAAGAGACCAGAGACCAGAGAGGGACCAGAGCAACACCAGAGAGAGAGACCAAACAGAAACCAGAGAGAGACCAGAGAGAGAACAGAGATAGATTCACAAATTCAACTATTCAACAATTCCACAGTGGTGAATGGATACTATCCTCAGGTCAAATTGACCCACCACAGTGATTAAAAAATAAATATATTTTTTTCAAGATGAATTTTGATGACATTTCCAAACTCGCCCCTTTTAGACCCTAATTTTGGATATTTCTCTTCTACTTTTAATTACTGTGGCCCTCGATTTGACCTGAGGACATCATGGGACTTTTAAACAGCTCATTATTCAGTTAAAAAACAACTAAATACCAAAATAATTGTTGTACACACAGTCGTACAGCATGTGTGCATTCTGCTATAGATATTATTTTTTCATTAGCTTATTACACTTTTAGAAGGATTGTTATTATTTCATGGAAAGGATCCAGCACCGCAGAGTTTGTCACAACAGGTCTGAACCTGAACCGAGTCTGTGTCTGGAGTCGAGTTCAAACCAGGGAAGAAAGAAAGCTGGGATCTGTAACTTTAGTCTCATGAATTACACATGTGTAAAGGTGGGATCTGTAACTTTAGTCTCATGAATTACACATGTTTAAAGGTGGGATCTGTAACTTTAGTCTCATGAATTACACATGTTTAAAGGTGGGATCTGTAACTTTAGTCTCATGAATTACACATGTTTAAAGGTGGGATCTGTAACTTTAGTCTCATCAATTACACATGTGTAAAGGTGGGAATCTGTAACTTTAGTCTCATGAATTACACATGTTTAAAGCTGGGATCTGTAACTTTAGTCTACAGAAAAACACATGTAAAGTAGTGACGGAAGCTTTACAGAAGGTAGTTACATATATATTACAGTTTCATTGTTGCTGTCTGAAAGTTACGTACCCGAGCTTTATGGGCACATGGAAGATAATGCTTTTCAATCAGGCATGTTATCTTTTCACCATAACTTTCAAACCACAACAATAGAAGTACTGGTCACTCCTGGCTCAATTGGTTCAATTCTATTACTAGTTTTGTCATGCATTCTTTTCTGGCCTCTGTCACATCCTTAGTTCTGCTTTTTCAGACCTAAAGGGGAATGAGAGACCGGAGAGAGAGACCACAGAGAGAGAACGAAGACACCAGAGAGAGAGAGCGAGAGAGAACTGAGTCAAATTGTGACTAAGAGGGCTCTTCCACAGAATATATTGTGTTTTCTAATTAGAATGTGTTGTGTCTGATTTGTTCACAACATTTAACTTAACGACTCTTTCTGTTAGACAAAATACATTTTAACTGAAGCTAAAGTTAGGTACCTGCGCTTTAATTTCACTTAAGTAAAAGTCTATTGTTTTCTCCTTGTCACCGCTGAGGAAACACGCTCAGAGTATTAGAGCTTAATCCAATAAAGCGCGCGTCTCAAAGCGCGTGCTTTTTGTGCCATTTCGTGCGTAAAATTGCCTCCAAACTTCCCCTTGACTCAGAGTAAACATTATTGTGCATTATTCATAGAGAAGCAGATGTCTGAAGACTCTTTCTGCTGCGAAACTCAATCCAGTCTGTGGCGACGTGAAACCGATCGCGCTAATCTCCTGTTTCGTCATGTTGGCGATCACAGGGTTTTTTACGTGCTGCGCTTTGGCGTATAGTTTGGGTGCTTTTAGAACTCACGTATCTGGTGATGAGGGACCGGAGCGTGCTGAGGTCCATGCCCATTGTGAGGGCGTGTGTCCCGGGCTTCAAACTGCGGGAACACGGCCCGAGAGAGAATGAATTCCTTCGCTAGCTTTGCTCCGGGGCGCGCGTCCTCTCCATGCTCCTTCTTCCTGGAAATGTTGAAAGTCTTGTTACGGAGTGAGGAGCAGAGTCTAAGCCGTGAACAGAGCGCCTCTCCCGGGCACAGGCTGCAGGGAGGACCGGGGTGGGGCGGTGGAAGCCTGAACCCAGTCTGGACTCAGTCTGATGAGATGAGGAAGAGGCGCTCAGGCTTTGATCTCCGTCACGAGGAGCAGAACAGGTGGCATGTGTGTGTGTGTGTGTGTGTGTGTGTGTGTGTGTGTGTGTGTGTGTGTGTGTGTGTGTGTGTGTGTGTGTGTGCGTGTGTGTAACTGTGTGCGTGTGTGCGCGCGCGTGTGTGTATGTGTGTGTGTGAGAGAGGGAGAGAGTTTTCGGTTATTACAACTAATAAAAACACACATTACATTCATTACATTTCACACTATAAAAAAATAAAGAGATGATATTGATGAAGTCAATAAAGTTTGACCTGAGGACTTAAGAAGTTCTAGATCTTTGCCACTGGCGAGTTTCAACCCCGTGTAATGGACAGTGTCTCAGACTTGGATCACCTGGTACTGGTCCTCGTCCTGGTCCTGGTCCTGGTATAAACACTTTTCCTCTTGATCTGAGACGTGTTGAAACTTGCCTTTTGTTTTACAGCGTCACAAACCGGACTTGACAGGCTGAGGCTCCATCTGTCTGCACAGGTCATGGATGTATTATGGCACAGGTACAGAGGGAAGAAAGACATGTTATTTATATAACACAGGGACACGATAAGGCTGAGGCTCTGGATCTGTCTGGAGGCTAATGTAGAAGACATGTTATTTGTTTAGGACAATACGGGAATCAAATATTTTTATAATAACAAAATTAAGCATTTTATTTTGTAGGTACTGTGTTGTATTTTGAAGGAGCAGCAGGAACCGAAGTTTTATATTCCGCTTCTTTGCGCTTGCCAAAATGGCGCTGTCTGCGGAGGGATGCTGGAGGCAGGTAGAGGGAGGTCACACTTCCTAGTGACGGCGGAATGGCGGCAGCGTCAGCAGGCGGAGGCAGAGCGTCGACGAGGAGAAATGCGCGAGATTTAAATCTCATTGATCTACAACCACCTACCTTAATCCCAGAACCTGTTTTTTCCATGGATGGGTCAGAGGTACGGAGTTGGGGCGATAGTATGGAGGCTGAGGAGAGTGAAAGTGACGCTGAGTTACAGTCAGCACAGAAGAGAGTGAACAAGCGTAGTAAGCGGCTTCGGAATGAGAGTGGTAGTGACCAGGGACGTGCGGTGAGGTTTGTGATTGGGGAGGCACTGACTTTAAAAGTCAGATTTACAATCATTATTCAAATAAAATAGCATTTAATCACCAATGCAATGACATCCACAAACTTTATATACTGTAAAGATAAGAGAACCAGCTTCTTTTAATAATCTCACAACAAATCTAGCTGCTGACTCTGCTCCGCATCAAACAACATCTTTAAGAAGCGCAGGTGCGAGAGACGCGAGGAGAGAGAGACGCGAGGATAGAGGAGCAGAGAGAGACAGAGAGGAGCAGAGAGACGGAGACGCGAGGAGCAGAGAGAGACGGAGACGCGAGGAGAGAGAGACGCGAGGAGAGAGGAGCAGAGAGAGACAGAGAGGAGCAGAGAGACGGAGACGCGAGGTGCAGAGAGGAGCAGAGAGACGGAGACGCGAGGAGCAGAGAGAGACGGAGACGCGAGGAGAGAGAGACGCGAGGAGAGAGGAGCAGAGAGAGACAGAGAGGAGCAGAGAGACGGAGACGCGAGGAGCAGAGAGAGACAGAGAGGAGCAGAGAGACGGAGACGCGAGGAGCAGAGAGAGACGGAGACGCGAGGAGAGAGAGACGCGAGGAGAGAGAGACGCGAGGAACATAAACAATAATTTAAACAAGTTGCAGAACTCTTGAGCAGTGTTTGAATCAGTGTTTTTCGGAAAAGCACTACTTTGCCGGTATCTGTCAATGTTCAACATAAAACACAGATTAACAAACTCCTCCCCCGCAGCCGGACTAACCTCGTAAGTCCAGTGGTGGTCTCCCAGTCTATATTAATTCTTTCTTTGTTTGAAAGTCCAATTGAGAAAAAAAATCTTCATTCAAATCATCCATTTTCCAGCAAAAGAAATAGCATTTTGGGCTGATTGTTTGTTAGCAACTCTGGTATGAACTTTATGCTCACTATCACCCCTAGCGGTGAGGCACAGATACCGCCTGCCTCACGCCAAGCTTTTTCCTTGTGTGTTCATCTACGATCAAAAGACTTAAACTAAATATAAATTGTACACACATACGTGCAATACACTACTAAACACTAAGAGGAGTTTAAAAAATGTTTTTAAAGCAGGATATTTGAAACAAACGGTGATATATCAACTGCACGAGCTGAGTGCACTCAGACACACACACACACACTGTGAGGGAGCGGTCTGGGGTGAGGCACGCAGGAGCGCTGCCTCACCTCGTCTCTTTGAATAGGAATAACGGGATTTCGGCGATTTTGACTTCAGAAATGATCAAAACTGATGGGAACCGTGCCGAATATACATTAAAAGCATAGGACAGTGGATATAAATTATATATTTAAACTAAAATAATTATTAGTTTCCAATAATGGCAGGTGAGGCTCTGCCTCCCCTGCCTCCCCTGACTGCACGTCCCTGGTAGTGACAGCAGTGTTCATTCAGTTATTGAGAGACCGAGTAAGATGATTGTTGTGCTGAGGTTTAATGAGAAAACTCAAGCCAGTGTGAGGAAAGCAAGTCCATTTAGTCTTACAATGGATATTGGGAACAAGCTGGGCGATGTAACAGCAGCTAAAGTGTTGAATGATGGAAATTTATTAATTCATTGTACCAATGAGGAGCAAATGAAGAAGGCGTTGGGCTTGAGGGAGGTGGGAAAGTTTAAAGTTAGCAGCGCGAGTCAGGTGGGAGTTCGACTTGGCGGGAGCAGAGGAGTAATCACCGGAATACCTGCTAATGTAAAGATGGAGGAGTTGAAGAGACATATTAAAGGGGGGGTAGTTAAAAATGTGACTAGGATGAAAGCAACAAGGGACGGAGTGAAAGTGGACAGTGAAACTATACTTATTGAGTTTGAAGAAGCAACTTTGCCTCAGAAAGTGTTCGTTGGGTTTTTGAGTTACTCAGTCAGAGCATTCATACCTAAGCCGCTCAGGTGCTTTAATTGCCAGCGTTTTGGCCACACAGCAAGTAACTGTAAGGATAAGAGAAGGTGTGCTCGATGTGGAGGGGGCCATGAATATGGGAAGTGTGGGGAAGGAGTACAGCCCAAGTGCTGCAACTGTGGTGGGGCACATAGTGTGGCTTATGCTGGATGTGAGTTTATGAAGAAAGAGAGTCAGATTCAAAAGGTGAGAGTAGAGAAGGGGATCTCTTATGCAGAGGCTGTGAGGACATCACGGCAGAGTGCTCCTCTTGTGACGAGGGGGCGGGGAACAGAAGAGCCGGAGGCAGTAACTGGGCAGAGCAAAAGTAATCTAAGTGTACAGCCAATTGCGCTAGTTTCATTTATTGCTGAAGTAATAAACTGCACTTTTGGGGTCAAAACTAGAGATGAAAGGATCAAATTGATTGTTGAGGCAGCAGCAAAGCTGCTAGGAGTGGTAGGACTGACATGGGAAAAGGTGAGTGATCACCTCAGGCTTCAGTCAGGACGAGTGGTATAATGTTATTTGTATTCCTAATGGTGCTTATTCTCCAATGGAATGCAAGAAGTTTACTGGCCAATGGCCAGGAGTTTAAGTATTTCATTAAAGGACTTAAAGAGAAACCGGACGTAATATGTGTGCAGGAGACGTGGCTTAAGCCTTCTTTGGACTTTATAATATATGGATATGCTGTGATTAGAAATGACCGAGACCATGGAGATGGAGGGGGGTGTGCAACATTTGTTAGAAGCGGTATCCCCTACAGGTTACTGGGGGTAGGGGGAAATCTGGAGTGCATTGTAGTGGAAGTATGGGAGAAGGAAAAACCAACAGTGGTCATAAATTTCTATAATCCATGTGCCAGGTTAGAGCATCAGAGCCTCCGGGGTATTCAGGGACAAGACCGTAGGAGAGTAGTTTGGGTGGGGGACTTTAATGCTCACAGTGGAGTATGGGGGGGTCGGCATAAAGACGCCAATGGAAGTGTTATAGAGGAATTGATGGATGAGCAGAATCTTGTGTGTTTGAAGGACGGTTCTGGTACAAGGTTTAATGTTGTGAATGGGTCCTCCTCAGCGTTGGATCTTACCCTGGTGTCTAGCGCATGTGCAGGGGGCTGCCAGTGGAGGGTTAGGACAGATACAACCCTGGGGAGTGACCATTATCCTGTTTTGAGCTCAATTGGGGGTAAGGTGAAGGGGATAAGCAGAGAGGGTTTGGGGAAATGGGCTTTCCATAGAGCTAATTGGGATGAGTTCCAAAAGTTATGTGAGGAGGCTGCAGATGAAATGGGGTGTCAAGGCAGCGTAGATGAAATGAATAAACAGATTACGGAGGGAATGATAAATGCTGCACGGAAGAGTATTCCAAAGAGCAAGCCAAAGAATAACAGAGTTCTGGTTCCATGGTGGACGCAGGAGTGCCGGGTAGCGGTCATGGAGAGGAATAAGGCATTTAGGAAGTTTAAGAGAACGCTCAGTATTCAGCATCTGGTGGAATACAAGAAAGCGCAGGCAATTGTTAGGAGGACAATTAGAAGAGCAAAAAGGTCTAGCTGGAGGGAGTTTTGCTCAAAAGTGGGGAGAACAACACCAGTGGGTGAAGTCTGGGGAATGGTAAGAAGGATGGGTGGAGACAGGCGTGAGTGGGATTACCCAGTATTAGTGACTCAGAGTGGCACAGCGATATCGGACAGGGATAAGGCAGAGGTCATGGCCCAAAGTTTTGTAAAGGTGCATAGTTCAGATAACTTATCAGAAGTGGCTAAAAGCAGGAGAGATCAAACCAGAGATCAGAACCAGGAAGTATTTGTAACTAAGGAGGATTTAAATCAAGATCAGGATTCCCTTTTCTCCTTGGAGGAGATGGACAGGGCAGTTAGAAGGGCAAAACAAACATCTCCAGGTAAGGATCAGATATGTTATGCAATGATTAGAAGGCTAGGGATAGAAGCCCGAAGAAACTGCTGCTATTGTATAATAGAGTTTGGACTGAAGGAAAGGTGCCAGGTGCGTGGAAAGAGGCTGTGATAGTGCCGATAAGGAAGCCTGGAAAGGACCCGTCCAAGCCATGTAGTTATCGGCCAATAGCCCTTACCTCCAACCTCTGTAAAATTATGGAGAGAATGATTGTGGAAAGGTTGTCTTTTGACCTTGAGAGACGAGGAGTTTTAGCTGGTTGTCAGAGTGGCTTTAGGAAAGCGAGAAATACGTGTGACTCTATTATTAGGCTTGAAAATGAGATAAGGAAAGCTCAGGCTTGTAAGGAGGCAGTGCTGGCAGTGTTTTTTGACATTGAAAAAGCCTATGACATGATGTGGAAAGAGGGGTTATTAATCAAACTGCATAGGTTGGGGGTTAGTGCAAGAGCTTTTAACTGGATCCGAGACTTTCTTGATGGGAGGAAAATTGAGGTGCGCATTGGATCAGCTTGCTCCAATCAATATTGTGCTGAAAATGGAACTCCTCAAGGCAGTGTGATAAGTCCTCTACTGTTCATTATTATGATTAATGATGTGTTTGATGCAATGCCTGGGAGTGTGGGTAGATCTTTGTTCGCAGATGATGGGGCGGTATGGAGCAGGGGGAGAAATGTAGATCATCTAATAGGCAAGAGTCAGCGAGCCATTAATGATGTGGTGGAGTGGGGACTAGACTGGGGCTTCAGGTTCTCAGTTGAGAAAACTAAAGTGGTTTTCTTTACAAGGAAGAGAGTGAGGGAAGATATGAAGTTGAGGTTATACGGTGAAGAGATTGAGAGAGTTAGTGCATTTAAGTTTTTAGGGGTTGTACTGGACTCTCGTTTAACATGGAAGGAACACATAAAACGGATTGAGGAGAAGTCTAGTAAGGTTATAAATGTTATGAGGTGTTTGGCAGGAAGAGACTGGGGAGCCAGCTGCTCCGCACTGAAACGCCTCTATCAGGCCTTGATAAAGTCAGCATTTGACTATGGTTGTGTGGTGTACGGATCAGCATCCCCATCCATACTGAAGAAACTGGATGTGATACAGGCCCGTGCCTTGAGGCTGTGCTGCGGAGCCTTTAAGACATCTCCGGTGAATGCATTGCAGGTAGAGATGGGGGAGATGCCACTAGATCTGAGAAGGAAGCAGATAATGATGAACTACTGGGTTCATTTACAAAGCCATGGGGATTCTCATCCCACAAAACAGACATTGAGGGACTGCTGGGAATATGGTAAGGCCCAGAGAGATCTTTTGGGAAAGTGGGGGACCAGATGGCTCAGAACTATGGTATTTATGATCTTCAGATTAGTTCTGCTTTAGTGTTTCCTGCAATACCCCCATGGAAGTTGGCGTGCCCAGGAGTAGATTGGCACCTGCTGGACTTGAAGAAGAAGGAAAAAGGGAGGGTTGATCTGGTTGCAGCTTTTGAGTACCACGTATCTCAACTCTACTCAAGTCATATTCACATCTTTACGGATGGGTCAAAGAGTCCAGAATCTGAGGTTACAGGATTCGGAATAGCGGTGCCAGGAAAAGGAGTTGGTATTAACAGACGAACATCTAATGGTTTGAGTGTTTACACAGTGGAGATGGTTGCTATATTAGTGGCGTTAAGGTGGGCAGAGCAAGCTAAAAAGAGTAGGGTTTTAATATGTTCTGATTCAGCGTCTGTGCTTTCTAGTGTCCAGTCTATACAATCACAGGGTCGACAGGATATTTTGTATGAGACTCTATTGACAGTTACTAGAATTCATCAGCAGGGGAACACGGTGCAGTTTCTGTGGGTACCATCACATTCTGGTATTCAAGGTAATGAAGTAGTGGACAGACTGGCAAAGGGTGCACTGAATAAGGCAAGGGTAGAGATGAGTGTGAAAAGTAGCAAGAGTGAAGCAAAGAGTGTGGTGTGGAAACGAATAATTCAGGAATGGCAGACACGTTGGGAGACAGGGACCTCAGGAAGGCATTTTTATCACATACAGAAAGAGGTGAGCGATGGCAGAAGGCAGGGGGGCCATCGGAGGGAAGAAATGGTCATGACTAGGCTTAGATTGGGGCATTGTGCACTGAATAAAACACTGTATCATAGGGAAGCATGAGACGGGGCTCTGTGAGGGATGTGAAGAGCAGGAGGAGTCTGTAGAGCACGTGCTGTTGCACTGCAGGGGATATAGTGAGTGTAGGGAGGTACTGAAACAGAGGCTTAAGGAACTGGGGGTTAAGGAATTTAATTTAAAGAGTATTTTGGGTACTGGAGGGAGTGCGCAAGTGAGGGCATTAGTGTCGTTTTTAAAGGAAGCCGGGTTATTCAGCAGAATATAGATATAGTATAGTTAGGTATGTATGAATTTTGGTTAGTTATTTTTATTTGTATTTTGTAGTATTTTTTTTTTTCTTTTTTTTTTTTCTGTTCTTTTTCGTTTCTTTTCTTTTACAATTCCCTTGGTGGGACCACAGACTGATAGTCTGTGGGGTTAGAGTGTGAGCCTACTGACCCATCCACGGAACAGAAGGTGGCGGTAATGCGCAAAAATAGGTCGCCAACCGCCGGAAAAAACCTAACAAGAAGAAGAAGAAGAGGGATGCTGGAGGTAACCGCTCTTTCCTGCACCGTTCCCCGCAATAACAAACCCGACACACAGCTCTCCCCGGGCTGCTACGCAAGATGGCCCTGGACCAGAAATCCCCCAACGTCCTGCTGCAGAGCTTGTGCTGCAAAGTGACCGGGAAGAGTGAGGGTAAGGCGGCTAGCATCAACACGGGCTCCCGCTTTTACTGTCCACCCCAGACACTGCTCCCAAACGGAACATTTTAACATTTAACACACATTTACAAACACATAACTTTTACCAATCCACCCTGAAACTCACATACTCTTACTTCTCCCCATATTAAACACTTCGGCTGAATTAATTGGTCATAAAGTATTTGTATTTACCAGAAACTTCATGTGTTGACAATTTAATGTTATGTGTGCGCTTGAGGAATACGCTGCTCTGATTGGCTCGCATACTTCCGGGTTTCTGCTAATTCATTCAGAAGCTAGCGTTAAAAAGTACATTTTTGCATAGTTTTGAGTTTCAATTAAATTCCTGCCTTTCGGGAAATGCAGATATCTGCTACTGCTATATATTTTAATATATTTCACACTGCATGTTATCATTATTTGGTGTGTTGGTATCGTTTTGTGCGCTTTAAATGGGATCCAAATGTAGATACATGTATAGTTTATATTTGTCAATGCCTGGATCTCATGTGTCTCTAATCGTGTGTGATGGGACTTCGGTCTTGGGTTACATGCAAACAGTGCCTTCTCATGACACTGATGCTGTAATATGTATGGATTTATGAATGAACTTCTACATTGGATTAAGATTATAGATGTGTTATGCCTAAACGGTCAGATAGATGTCTGTATAATTATATTCTAAATGCGTTTTTTCACAATGGAACAATTACAGAATGTCCTTATTCACGACAAATGCAATTTGTATGAGAAGAGATACTGATGGATATTGCAATTTCACAATGGTCACTTTGGAGCGAGACCAGAGGGAGCGAGACCAGAGTGAATGAGACCAGAGCGAGAGAGACCAGAGCGAGAGAGACCAGAGCGAGAGAGACCAGAGCGAGAGAGACCAGAGGGCTGTATGGTTGTGTAGTACATATTGTGTTGTGTGTTCAGCTGTATGTTTGTGTACCAGATAAGATAGATTTTATTGACCTCACACAGGAGAAATTTACATGTCACATTTGGCATGGATAGAATCACTCAAGATTTGTGCAAAAGACAGAAGTGTGCAAACATATTAAAGGCAAAGGTGTTGTGTTGTCCATGATGGAGGTGGCTTTGACTAGCACCCTCCTGTCCCTCACCTCCTCCACAGAGTCCAGGGAGCAGCCCAGAGTGGAGCTGGCCCTCCTGACCAGCTTGTTCAGTCTGCTCCTGTCCCGCTCTGTGCTGCCCGGGGCCCAGCACACGGCAGCGTAGTGTATGGCAGAAGCTACTACAGAGTCATTGTTTTTCTGTTGTGTGTTCAGCTGAGGTGGCGCATCAGTTCCAGTATGCAGTGCGAGTGATCGGCAGTAACTACGCTCCGACCATCGAGAAGGACGAGATCCTGGTGACGGACAAGATCAAGAAGGAACGTGAGTGTTCTGAGTGAACCAAGGCTCTAGGCCCCCAACAGGTCCAAGACTATCTTTATATATTTATATTATTATGTTATTAATAACATAATGATATAAAGAATTGGCACACCCCCAGTCCAAACAACCTCCCACTTTCAAAGCACAAGTACCCAAGAACAGAGCGACTAATAATAGACAACAGCATTTGTCAGTTTCTCATCCACTTGGGGCTTTATACACATTTTCCAACATATTTTTATCAAAGATAACTTCATAAAAGAAAGAGAAGCATGAACTTTCCAAACTCTGAAGCTGAGGGCTTCACTCACCCAAACACAGCTCCACAGCTTGTTCTGCTGTCATTGTGCATTGTGCATGCTGTAACTTCTGTCCCTGGTGTGATGTGTGTACTTCAGAGCCTTCTCCTCTGACCCTCTCTTACACAGCTTTTAAACCGCTTTTATTGTGTCTCGTAAACATTTTCTCACTTTGTAGAAACACATTTATGGATCCGCTGCAGTAATGAGCAAAGTGCTGCTGGTTTATTCTGAGTCCAGGATCGATGGTTTTCACACAAATGGTGTTTGTGTCCAGTGGGAGTCTCAGCAGCAACTAGGAGTGCAACGGTTTGAAAAAATCACGGTTCGGTTCGTACCTCGGTTCAGAGGCCACGGTTCGGTTCATTTTTCGGTTCATTTTTCTAAAAAAAAGTTTTGTCTTTTTAATAAACACAGCTCATGTGGACTCGGCACCTGCTCTGACTGCCACCCCCCTGACCTAGAAATGAATTAAGGGGAAGGAAATGGATGGATGGATGGAAGGCATATTCCATCCATCCAATTATGTCTATTTAACATAATTAATGAAAAACAACACAAAGTGCAACATAAGAAGGCACTTTATGAGGATATTTACCCTCATATATTACACCACCTTCCTGATTCTCCCAAGGAGGGGGTCCATTCTGGGCCCAGCCTCATTCACTGCATTTATTTAATTTTTGGCATTATCAGTTGTGACTGGGATATTAGTACTGGGCCTTTGTCTTCAATTCCTCCGCTGCTTGTGTCAGTACCTGCGCTGTGTGACAGTGTGACTGTCGTAGAGGGGGCGTGTCTTCAGCGCCAGACTTTTCATCTCCCAGTCTGCGGTGATGAAGTGAGCGGTTCCGCTCATGGATCTATTATAGATTCCGCGGGACGTCCAAGCGTCAGTCGTGACTCGTGAGCGCAGCTGAGGATGCGCGGGAGAGTTGACTTTAGCCCGGTCTGACTGTGCGTAAAGGAGCTGCTTAAATGCCGCGACAATAGGTGGTCGTTGAGACGCTTTTTTCACTCATGTCTTTCTTGTGCCACAGTGCTTACACACCGTGACAGTTTTGTCGAATATTAATCATCAGTATAGTTACAGTGAAGCCAAAATGCTCTCATACTGGGGATTTAAATGACGCAGGGCTTTCAAGCATCTCCGTTCCTCCGCTCGCAATGACCGCGCTGTGTGTGGACTGAACAACGTGCGCACAACTTTTTTTTCATAAATAAAACCGCGGATCACGTCTGTACCGAACCGAAGACGTTGAACCGAACGGATCACGGATCAGTGATGAACCGTTGCACCTCTAGCAGCAACATCACAGAGTTTCATAGACGCACAATGTCACAACACACATCCCCCCGATCCTTTTTCTGCTCAAACACCCTTGGCGTAATAACCTGAAATCTGCTGATTGCCAGCTTGACCTGTAATGTTGTGTAAAGGGGCAGAGCTCAGAACGATGCAATAAGACTGATGACAGAAGTGGGGGGCTAATAACATATATAATGTGTGTGTGTGTGTGTGTGTGTGTCTGTCTGTCTCTGTCTTTTTTTGTGTGTCCTCACTCAGTGCTCAGACAGAGGAGAGTGGAGGATGCTGCTGTCTTCTCAGAGCTGCACAAGAAGCTGCAGGGACAGGTGAGCGAACACACAACGTCGCATATGTCTCATTCAACACAGCAGCGACACTGCTTAGCTAGCAGAGGAAAGAGGAAAACATGCTCTGAGGAAACAAACTTGTCTAAAAAAAGTGGAGTGTAGAGAATAACAGAAGGTGGTGTTCATACAGTGGTGACAGGACACCTTTTGTCGTCATTGAATGTGGCTTTATACCAGAAACTGTAAACTTTATACGCAGCTAGAAATGAAACATAAGGTTACTTAACTTGAAGCTGTCTTTTTGATAACAGAGTGAGGTGTTTCACCACAGATTGCAGAGTTGAGGCATTACTTTTTTTTAAATAAATAAAAAAAAAACCTTTTTTTGTTTTTGTCAGTAGTTTTTGGAGGGTTATTTATCATGTGAAAATATTGTTGTATATTGTATTTTTTATCCATTTTGCCCAACACGCGCACACACACACAGCCATTATTTAGGTTCATTTCAGGTGTCAATGGAACACGTATCTATGGTCTCTCTCTCTCTGGTCTCTCTCTGGTCTCTCTCTGATCTCCCTGGTCTCTGGTCTCCAAACCCTGGACCCTGATGAACCTTGTGTCTGTGCTCAGGGTGTTCTGAAGCATCGCTGGTCCGTCCTTTACCTCCTGCTGAGTCTGACTGAAGACCCAAGGAAACCCCCATCCTCCCGGGTCTGCATTTCTCTGAGCATAGTCCTGTTTTAGTCTGCTTTAGTCTTGCATTAGTCCTGCTTTAGTCCTGCTTTAGACCTACTTTAGTCCTGTTTTAGTCCTGCTTTAGTCCTGCTTTAGTCCTGCTTTAGTTCTGCTTTAGACCTGTTTTAGTCTGGTTTTAGTCCTGTTTTAGTCCTGTTTTAGTCCTGCTTTAGTCCTGTTTTAGTCCTGCTTTAGTCCTGTTTTAGTCCTGCTTTAGCCCTGCTTTTGCCCTGCTTTAATCCTGCTTTAGTCCTGCTTTAGTCCTGTTTTAGTCCTGTTTTAGTCCTGTTTTAGTCCTGTTTTAGTCCTGCTTTAGTCCTGTTTTAGTCCTGCTTTAGCCCTGCTTTTGCCCTGCTTTAATCCTGCTTTAGTCCTGCTTTAGACCTGCTTTAGTCCTGCTTTCACACACTGTTTCAGATCTGGTTCAGACTAAAGTATCTTTCTTTTGGGTCCTGTTTCCTCAGGTGGGTCCCTACAGTTCTCTCTTTGCTCAGCCTCTACCTCGGGACGCCCATTCCACTCCCTTTTACTGCACCCGTCCACAGAGCCTCTCCCTGAGCTATGGGGACCGGCTTCAGTCCGGGCTCGGGTCTGGACCGGGACCAGGTCTGGGCTCGAGTCTTGGCACCAGTGGGATCTCGAGTCTGGGCGTGTACTCCGTGAATGGACCCACACCCACACCTCAGTCTCTACTAGCCGGGTAACTTCAGTGAGGGAGACCTGGAGGGCGGGAGACCTCCTCTAACCTGTTCTTGTGTGTTTGCAGTCAGCCTCAGTCTGCTTCTCTCGCTTCCCGATTGGCTTGGGCTCTGCCTGTAAACTCTGCCCCCTCTGCCGCCATGGCCCCACCCACTGCCCGGCCCGTGCCTTCACCCAAACTGTCCCGCTCTCGACGGGACACCGACACCACAGGTATATACACCTTTGAACCTGATTTAAAGCTGGGGGACGTAGCTTTAGTGTCAAAACACATACACGCTGTCACTATTTCACTCTTTGGGCTGAGAACTGACTCTGTGGTCTCTCTCAGGTCTTTTTTTCTGGTCTTTCTCTCTGGTCACTCTCTCTGTTCACTCTCTGATCTCTCTTTCTGGTCACTCTCCCCGGTGTCTCTCTCTGGTCTCTCTCTGGTCTCTCGCTCTCTGGTCTCTATCAGAGAAAGAGCCCAGTGTGTCACTATTTGCCTCTTTGGCTGAGAGCGGAGTGTTTGTGTGGTAGGGGAAGTGAGCGAAGCGTCGCTGGTGCGGGACATTCTGTACGTGTTCCAGGGGATCGATGGGAGGTTCATACGGATCGACTCCAAGGTCAGAACCTCTCTTGTCGTCCAATTTAAGACTCATGGAAGTCTCCTGCTCACACTGCATGCAACCACAGAAAGCAGGTCTCTCTCTGGTCTCTCTCTGGTCTCTCTGGTCTCTCAATGGTCTCTCTCACATGGTCAGACCGTTCTCTCTCTCCTGTAGGTGGTGCTCTCCAAGTCTCTTCGTGACCTCAGCAGTCGGCTGTCAGAGCTCGGCTGGCTCCACAACAAAGTGCGGAAGTACACGGACTCTCGGAGTCTGGACCGGGCTTTCGGAGTCTGGACCGGGCTTTCGGACTCGTGGGACAGGTAGGCCCAGGTCCCGTACTCAGTGGGGTTAGGGTTGGCGGTCGGGGTCACTCATGCTGTAGAAGGTCTAGTTCTTAAACATGTGTCTGGTTTGTAGAGTTTCTGCGCCGCTCTGCACCAGGAGCTGAAGGAGTACTACAGGCTGCTGTCGGTACTGCACTCCCAGGTGAGAGAGACCTGAGAGATAGACCAGAGAGAGAGAGACACCAGAGAGAGACAGAGACCAGAGAGAGACAGAGACCAGAGAGAGACCAGAGACCAAAGAGAGTGGTAGTTCTCCTGCTCTGATGACGTGCTCCTGTGTCTCCTCCTCAGCTGCAGGTGGAGGAGGAGCAGATCACCACCTTGTCCTCAGACTCCTCCCTAACCCTGAGGAGGCTGCTGGTCTGGATGTATGAGCCGCGATTCAGGCTCCGGACTCTGGCTGCGCTGGTGGACTTCTGCCAGGGTGAGTCTGCTCTTTGTGACCACCGTAAATACAACCATCCATACGTTTCAGATCTGCGTTTTCTTCAGCCTCAGCTTTGGTTGGTCTTCTCTTAGCTTTTGTTCGTCATTTAGTAGTGGGCAGATAAACTTTACAACACACCCAGCCCCCCCCCCGGCAGTATACTCACTTCCTCTGGGAGACGTGGAAGAATGCACCAACATAATTCTGCATTTAACAGCAGCTGCGAAAATGGAAACTGAAACTAGAGCATTGCGTGGTCTCGTTTGGACGAACGAAGGAGTACAATCCTCCTCTGTGCAGCGCTCAAACCCCACGAAGCTAGTTCGTGTACACGCCGCCATTGTTGTCTACGTTTGTTCTCGGCTACTGCGCATGTCCAAATTTACGTGCGGGGAGCAGCGGGGAGGTGGGGGTCAGAGCAGGCAAACAATTCACATCTTTTTCCTTCACGCGGGTGTAAAAAAGTTCCCCGCTGTGCAGCTTATCTGAGCTGTCCCACTCTGCAGGCTGGATCTGAACACTTACGTTTTCACCCCCCTGGAACACAGTCTCTGTATGAACGGTTCATACATTGTCTCTGTGTAAACGGCCCCTCAATTTATTTATATATAGTATTATCTGGGAGGACTTTACAAAGTTGTTGATTTAAACATAGATCAGAGAATCAAACAGTTCAAACACAAGAAATGCAATGATGTGTGTGTGTTTGTGTGTCTGTGTCTGTACCTGTGTGTTTGTGTGTGTGTGTGTCTGTGTCTGTACCTGTGTGTTTGTGTGTGTGTGTCTGCACCTGTGTGTTTTTGTTTGTGTGTCTGTGCCTGTGCGTTTGCATGTGTGTGCAGGCCGTAAAGGTGGTGAGTTGGCCTCTGCGGTTCATGCTTATGGTAAAACAGGAGATCCTCAGATGAGAGCTCTGATCCAACACGTCCTGAGTCTGGTGTCGCATCCCATTCTGCACTGTCTGAACCGTTGGATCTATGACGGAGAGCTGGACGACACCTACCACGAGGTAAACTCACACACCCCAGCTTTAGACCTGCTTTGAACCTGCTGGTAAACTCACACACCACATCTTGGAGGATTTTTACAAATTTGTTGGTTTGCGAACATGGATCAGAGAATCTGTGTTGGCGAATCACAGGAAATACAACAATAAAAAACACTGACATTGGTCTTTAAGAGTCCATTTTTTGTCTATGGTACTTACATTTTTACAATTTGTGTCGCAGTTTTTTGTGGCGTCGGATCCAAACGTGAAAACAGACAGACTTTGGCACAATAAGTATTCTCTGAGGAAGTCCATGATTCCGTCCTTCATCTCCATGGACCAGGCCCGGAAGGTGAGACCGCAGGGACCTGTGACCTCGCATTACACCTGGTCCCTGGTAATTGGTGGGAGTGGTGTGTTCTAAGAACAAACCAACAAGAAATGAAATCTGTTCTAGCTGCATTTTTGACATGGATTTTAGTGTAGTTTAGTTCCATTGGTGTGTTTTGAAAGTTACAGAACTGGTACTCCTTGACTGGACCCGTTACAGATCCCAGAACTTTCACATTCTCATGGTTCCACTGTGCTTGTTCTTCTAGGTCCTGCTCATCGGTAAGTCCATAAACTTCTTGCACCAGGTTTGCCAGGACCGGACTCCACCTGGGAAGATCACCGCTGTGTCCAAGACCGCAGAGGACCCCAAAGCAGGTACTGTCTCTACCCGGACCCAGCCAGTCCCAGCCAGTCCCAGCCAGACCGCCATCCACCTTGTTATTGATGAAGTTATAAAAGCTTCCCGCTCTCTGGCCTCCACTGTCCCAAGGACCAGGAGGGAGGGGGAGGTCAGCCATTTTGTATCGATCTGGCCCCTGCTTTTAAACACAAGGACACATTTCCCCAAACGCAATAAAACGGAGAGCTCCATAAAGCTGACCGCTGATGTTACAATGTGCAATATGAAAGGCTGGGGACGGTCGAACTAAAAAAGATTAAGGAGCTGTATTAAGGTTCTACGTTCAACTTTATTCTGGGAAATTAGTTAAGCTCAAAGCTGTTGAACACAAACATCCAAGACACAAGTCTGCAACATCAACACAAAAATATTCCATAGTATTGCACTCGGAATATACGAGTAAAAAACCAAAGTTTAAGATGGTATTCACACAATAAGTAATAAGTACATACAATGACTAAAGTATTAATTATAAATAATTAAGATGTATATAGCACATGCCCAAACCAAGTGCTTGTGCAGTTGGAAACACTAAAAGTATTGCACACGACTGATTACAGAAAAAGGAGATGCATGAGAGTGATGCAGCAATGCACCTGAACAAGGAGAAAATTCATTTATCGCTTTATATTGAGAAGAGTGAGAGATGCAGGAACAAAAGAAACTTTAAATCTGTTGCTTCAGAGCCTGACATCACGACTGAAGAAAGCAGGTGTTTTACCTGATGGTGTCTGTAACTGCTGAGTGACCTGATGGTGTCTGTAACTGCTGAGTGACCTGATGGTGTCTGTAGCTGCTGTGTGACCTGATGGTGTCTGTAACTGCTGAGTGACCTGATGGTGTCTGTAACTGCTGAGTGACCTGATGGTGTCTGTAACTGCTGAGTGACCTGATGGTGTCTGTAACTGCTGAGTGACCTGATGGTGTCTGTAACTGCTGTGTGACCTGATGGTGTCTGTAACTGCTGAGTGACCTGATGGTGTCTGTAACTGCTGAGTGACCTGATGGTGTCTGTAACTGCTGAGTGACCTGATGGTGTCTGTAACTGCTGAGTGACCTGATGGTGTCTGTAACTGCTGTGTGACCTGATGGTGTCTGTAGCTGCAGAGCTGCTGTGTGACCTGATGGTGTCTGTAGCTGCTGTGTGACCTGATGGTGTCTGTAACTGCTGAGTGACCTGATGGTGTCTGTAACTGCTGTGTGACCTGATGGTGTCTGTAACTGCTGTGTGACCTGATGGTGTCTGTAACTGCTGAGTGACCTGATGGTGTCTGTAGCTGCAGAGCTGCTGTGTGACCTGATGGTGTCTGTAACTGCTGTGTGACCTGATGGTGTCTGTAACTGCTGTGTGACCTGATGGTGTCTGTAACTGCCGTGTGACCTGATGGTGTCTGTAGCTGCTGTGTGACCTGATGGTGTCTGTAGCTGCTGTGTGACCTGATGGTGTCTGTAGCTGCTGTGTGACCTGATGGTGTCTGTAGCTGCAGAGCTGCTGAGTGACCTGATGGTGTCTGTAGCTGCTGTGTGACCTGATGGTGTCTGTAGCTGCTGTGTGACCTGATGGTGTCTGTAGCTGCTGTGTGACCTGATGGTGTCTGTAACTGCTGTGTGACCTGATGGTGTCTGTAGCTGCAGAGCTGCTGTGTGACCTGATGGTGTCTGTAGCTGCTGTGTGACCTGATGGTGTCTGTAACTGCTGTGTGACCTGATGGTGTCTGTAACTGCTGTGTGACCTGATGGTGTCTGTAACTGCTGTGTGACCTGATGGTGTCTGTAACTGCTGTGTGACCTGATGGTGTCTGTAACTGCTGTGTGACCTGATGGTGTCTGTAACTGCTGAGTGACCTGATGGTGTCTGTAGCTGCAGAGCTGCTGTGTGACCTGGAGGGGGCGTTCCAGGAGAAGATTGATGCTGCATACTTACATACGTCTAAGTATCTGCTGGACGTTCTGAACCGGAACTACCTCCTGCTGGAGCATCTGCAGGCCATGAGGAGATACCTGCTGCTGGGCCAGGGGGACTTCATCAGGCACCTGATGGACCTGCTCAAGTAAGACAAACGGTAGACCAGGTTAAGACTTACTTTAGACCTGTCATGGTTTAGGTTTATGTTCCTGTTTTATTCTGAAGAGTGTTCGCCCTGTGTCTTCCTTAGTTCTACTTCCTTTGTGTGATTACCTGCCCTGCCCGCATGCCGTGTTTTTTTTTCATTGATTGATTCTGTCAAGCTTTAGTTAGAGAGCGATCTTTCTCCTTCACTCTCGAGAGGCAGAGAAACGCCCGGGTCCACATCTGTGACGATTTCTTAAATACTGTCGTCAAAACTGGGAAGAAATACACTATAAATATTTTGTCCGGGAGGTGATTGACAAATCGAAAAAGCGAATCACAGCGCACAGCCAGCTCCCGAGTCCAGGTCCTGCGTCCAGTCCAGGTCCTGCGTCCAGTCCAGGTCCCGAGTCCAGTCCAGGTCCCGAGTCCAGTCCAGGTCCCGAGTCCAGTCCAGGTCCCGTGTCCAGTCCAGGTCCCAAGTCCAGTCCAGGTCCCGATTGCAGTCCAGGTCCCGATTGCAGTCCAGGTCCCGAGTCCAGTCCAGGTCCCGAGTCCAGTCCAGGTCCCGAGTCCAGTCCAGGTCCCGAGTCCAGTCCAGGTCCCGAGTCCAGTCCAGGTCCCGAGTCCAGTCCAGGTCCCAAGTCCAGTCCAGGTCCCGATTGCAGTCCAGGTCCCGATTGCAGTCCAGGTCCCGATTGCAGTCCAGGTCCCGATTGCAGTCCAGGTCCCGAGTCCAGTCCAGGTCCCGAGTCCAGTCCAGGTCCCGAGTCCAGTCCAGGTCCCGAGTCCAGTCCAGGTCCCGAGTCCAGTCCAGGTCCCGAGTCCAGTCCAGGTCCCGAGTCCAGTCCAGGTCCCGAGTCCAGTCCAGGTCCCGAGTCCAGTCCAGGTCCCGAGTCCAGTCCAGGTCCCGAGTCCAGTCCAGGTCCCGAGTCCAGTCCAGGTCCCGATTGCAGTCCAGGTCCCCGAGTCCAGGTCCAGGTCCCGATGCAGGTCCCGAGTCCAGGTCCCGAGTCCAGGTCCCGAGTCCAGGTCCAGGTCCCGATGTGTCCAGGTCCCGATGTGTCCAGGTCCCGAGTCCAGGTCCAGATTCCAGGTCCAGGTCCCGAGTCCAGGTCCCGAGTCCAGGTCCCGAGTCCAGGTCCCGAGTCCAGGTCCCGAGTCCAGGTCCCGAGTCCAGGTCCCGAGTCCAGGTCCCGAGTCCAGGTCCCGAGTCCAGGTCCCGAGTCCAGGTCCCGAGTCCAGTCCAACCAAGAATTTTAAGAACTACAGATGGCCACAGGGGGCGCTAGAAGACCATTTAAAAATTGCAATATCAGATGCGTTTAAATGTAATAACCACACAATGGACTGAGGCAACACAAGAGTTCAGGACATTGTCTTTGAATCTTGTTTTGTGTCTGCAGACCTGAGCTGGCTCGTCCGGCCACCACTCTGTACCAGCACAATCTGACCGGGATCCTGGAGACTGCGGTCAGAGCCACAAACGCCCAGTTCGACCACGCAGAGATCCTGAAGAGGCTGGACGTGAGGCTGCTGGAGGTGAGAGAGCAGAGAGAAGTGCTCATGTGTGCACCAACTCTGGCTCCTATTGACTTACATACAGTAGGTCCCATTCCGTTTTGTCGTCTTCATTCACGCTTCTCGGGAATCACGCAGCTGCGTGAAAAATAGTACATCTTATTGCCACAAGGTTAGCTCTGCCAGCGACTTAGACGCTCAGGTATAAGACTGCGTGCAAACCTGTCTAGCCCAGAGGTGCTATGTTAGCCGAATGGTTAGCATTAAAGACTGGGACCTGGAGAACCCAGGTTCGATTCTTGTCTGAGGCACATCTTTTGGTTGCTTGTGGCAAAATTGTTTTTTCATTAAACAATTATTATATAACATCTTGTCTTTAATGTCTGAAAAAATCTAGGTGAAATTCATTAGTGTTATACGTTAAATATTGTGATATGTTTTGATAAACCGAACGTTACGTTACATCCTCCGCTCTGGCCCCGGGAGCAGCTGCTGTGACCCCCGCTCTGACAGCTCAGTGAACGCACTGCCGTCTGGGCTCCGAGCACGGACCATAGACACGCGAACAGAACCACAGACAGGACCATAGACACGCGGACTCACGTCTCTCTCTCTCTGCTCGCGTCTCTCTCTCTCTGCTCGCGTCTCTCTCTCTGCTCACGTCTCTCTCTCTCTCTCTGCTCGTGTCTCTCTCTCTCTGCTCACGTCTCTCTCTCTCTCTCTCTCTGCTCACGCCTCTCTCTCTCTGCTCGCATCTCTCTCTCTCTGCTCGCATCTCTCTCTCTCTGCTCGCGTCTCTCTCTCTCTGCTCGCATCTCTCTCTCTCTGCTCGCGTCTCTCTCTCTGCTCGCGTCTCTCTCTCTGCTCACGTCTCTCTCCTCTCCTCTCTCTCTCTCTGCTCGCGTCTCTCTCTCTCTGCTCACGTCTCTCTCTCTGCTCGCGTCTCTCTCTCTCTGCTCGCGTCTCTCTCTCTCTGCTCACGTCTCTCTCTCTCTCTCTCTCTGCTCGCGTCTCTCTCTCTCTGCTCGCGTCTCTCTCTCTCTCTGCTCGCGTCTCTCTCTCTCTGCTCGCTCTCTCTCTCTCTGCTGCGTCTCTCTCTCTCTCTCCCGTCTCTCTCTCTCTGCTCCTCTCTCTCTCTCTGCTCGCGTCTCTCTCTCTCTGCTCGCATCTCTCTCTCTCTCGCGTCTCTCTCTCTGCTCGCGTCTCTCTCTCTGCTCGCGTCTCTCTCTCTCTCTGCTCGCTCTCTCTCTCTCTCTCTCTCTCTCTCTCCGTCTCTCTCTCTCTCTCTGCGTCTCTCTCTCTCTCTGCTCGCGTCTCTCTCTCTCTGCTCGCGTCTCTCTCTCTCTGCTCGCGTCTCTCTCTCTCTCTCTCTGCTCTCTCTCTCTCTCTCTCTCTCTCTCACGTCTCTCTCTCTCTGCTCGCGTCTCTCTCTCTCTGCTCGCTCTCTCTCTCTCGCTCTCTCTCTCTCTCTCTCGTCTCTCTCTCTCTCTCGATCTCTCTCTCTCTCGCTCTCTCTCTCTCTCTTGCTCGCGTCTCTCTCTCTCTGCTCGCATCTCTCTCTGCTCGCGTCTCTCTCTCTCTGCTCACGTCTCTCTCTCTCTGCTCGCATCTCTCTCTCTGCTCGCGTCTCTCTCTCTCTGCTCACGTCTCTCTCTCTCTCTGCCGCGTCTCTCTCTCTCTGCTCACGTCTCTCTCTCTCTGCTCGCATCTCTCTCTCTCTGCTCGCGTCTCTCTCTCTCTGCTCGCATCTCTCTCTCTGCTCGCGTCTCTCTCTCTCTGCTCGCATCTCTCTCTCTCTGCTCGCATCTCTCTCTCTCTGCTCGCATCTCTCTCTCTCTCGCATCTCTCTCTCTGCCGCGTCTCTCTCTCTCTGCTCGCGTCTCTCTCTCTCTGCTACTCTCTCTCTCTCTCTCTCTCTCTCTCTCTCTCGCTCACGCCTCTCTCTCTCTCTGCTCGCATCTCTCTCTCTCTGCTCGCATCTCTCTCTCTCTGCTCGCATCTCTCTCTCTCTGCTCGCATCTCTCTCTCTCTGCTCGCGTCTCTCTCTCTCTGCTCACGCATCTCTCTCTCTTGCTCGCGTCTCTCTCTCTCTGCTCCATCTCTCTCTCGCTCGCATCTCTCTCTCTCTGCTCTCTCTCGCTCTCTCTCTCTGCTCGCATCTCTCTCTCTGCTCGCGTCTCTCTCTCTCTGCTCGCATCTCTCTCTCTGCTCGCGTCTCTCTCTCTCTGCTCGCTCTCTCTCTCTCTCTGCTCGCATCTCTCTCTCTCTCTCGCTCTCTCTCTCTCTGCTCGCGTCTCTCTCTCTCTGCTCCCTCTCTCTCTCCCTCTCTCTCTCTCTCTCTCTCTCTGCTCACGCCTCTCTCTCTCTGCTCGCATCTCTCTCTCTCTGCTCGCATCTCTCTCTCTCTGCTCGCATCTCTCTCTCTCTGCTCTCGCTCTCTCTCTCTCTCGCGTCTCTCTCTCTCTGCTCACGCATCTCTCTCTCTGCTCGCGTCTCTCTCTCTCTCTCTCGCTTCTCTCTCTCTCTGCTCGCATCTCTCTCTCTCTGCTCGCATCTCTCTCTCTCTGCTCGCGTCTCTCTCTCTCTGCTCGCGTCTCTCTCTCTCTGCTCGCATCTCTCTCTGCTCACGTCTCTCTCTGCTCACGTCTCTCTCTGCTCACCTCTCTCTCTCTCTCTCTGCTCACGCCTCTCTCTCTGCTCGCGTCTCTCTCTCTCTGCTCACGTCTCTCTCTGCTCACCTCTCTCTCTCTCTCTCTGCTCACGCCTCTCTCTGCTCACGTCTCTCTCTGCTCTCTCTCTCTGCTCGCGTCTCTCTCTCTCTGCTCACGCCTCTCTCTCTCTGCTCACGTCTCTCTCTCTCTGCTCACGCCTCTCTCTCTCTGCTCACGTCTCTCTCTCTCTGCTCACGTCTCTTTCTCTGCTCGCGTCTCTCGCACCTGTTCTTCTTAAAGATGTTGTTTGATGCGGAGCCGAGAGTCAGCAACTAGATTGGTTGTGAGATTATTAAAAGAAGCTAGTTCTCTCATCTTTACAGCATGGGAAGTTTGTGAATGTTATTGCATCGGTGATTAAATGCTATTTTATTTTAATAATGATAGTAAATCTGACATTTAAAGTCAGTGCCTCCCCAATCACAATCCTCACCGCACGTCACTGTCTGTCTGCTATATGCATCTGATCATTTGATGTTGCCTCAACCTACACTTGTTTTAGTTTAAATGTGTAGGCTAGCTGTTTTTCAGTCTTTGAAATGTTGATGTGGCCATTTTATGGCTATTAAAAGCATCTGCCTCTGTCTGTGCGCTTTAACTGCCGGCACTAGGACCACTACGTGGATTAGCGCCCTCTCAGCTGTCTTCGCGCCGAATGAATGACAGATAGCATGATAGTGATAAGATATGTAAACAATGGCAACGCCGGCTGCTGAAAAGGCAAAACCTAGGCCATTCCAGTCCTGCTGGACACAAGAGTTTGGTTTTGTGTTTGTGAAGGACCGTGCTGTGTACACTTTATCTGTGAAAATGTTGTGTGCAGAACTTCAAGTGTTAAGCGTCATTTTGAGACGAAGCACGAGAAGACCTTCAAAACCAATCAGACAAAGTAGAGTCAATTAAATGTGCTGTGTCCAGATATGGAAAACAAGCTAGCTCCTTCAGGGTTTTTACCACTGCTAAAAATCACGGGACAGAAGCAAGCTATCGCATTGCGCATTGCATTGCAAAATATGGGAAGCGTTTACGGATGGTGAATTTATTAAGGAGGCTTTTCTCAGTTGCTCAGATGCTCTTTTTGAAAGCTTTACAAATAAAGAAACCATCAAGTCACGTATAAAGGACATTCCCATGTCAGCTAGAAGTGTTCAGCGACGTATTGATGAAATGGCTGTGAATGTCAGAGCTCAGCAAACAGCTGGATTAAAAGAGGCAGCGGTATTTAGCATTGCACTTGATGAAAGCGTGGATGTGAATGACATCCCGCGTTTGGCAGTCATGGCAAGGTACTGTGATTCAATCATCAGAGAGAACTATGCTGCTTGAAGACAATGCCTGACACTACAAAAGGTGAAGACGTGGCCAAGGCATTAATTGAACATTTTGAAGAACGAGGGATTAATATCAGAAAAGTGTTTGCAGTGACCACAGACGCCGCCCCCGCTATGGTGGGGAGACACAAGGGGGCTGTCAAACTGATTGAAGAAAAAGTCGGCCACCCCATCATGAAACTCCACTGCATAATACACCAGGAAAATCTGTGCGCAAAAATGTATCTGTGGACTACTGTAGCTCTCCCTCCCCCACACGAATAAACAAAGCCCACCCCAGGCCCCTGCTGTTATAAGTCATTACCTAAATTTGCAAATCAATACATGCAAATGTTAGCAGCCAACCTATCCTTCTTTTCAAAACAGGGGCCAATTTCGCTTGGGTTTGCTAGTGTTAAAACTAAGCAGACATTCATCAGCCAACTCCATTATATTTGTAAAACACGGAGAAAGAAAGTTTCCCACCCATCATACATTTGTATTAGCAATATCGTTTTACAAGTTTACTACAGTCTAGCAACTATTCATTTCAACCTTCGGCACAACACGCCAAAACACGCATGAAATTCAAGATTTGGACAACAATAAACATGTTCACACTCTGGCATCATGTTTAAAAAAATTTATTTGCGCATCAGAAAATGTCTAACGGAAACACGCAAACTTCGAATCATATATATAATAAGCCTCTGAATTTATTCTTTTAAATAATGTTGTTATAACACTCACCATTAATGCGACTTCTGGTGCTGGACTGTAAAAAATACAACTCAAAATTGTTCACCTTACTAAGATTTTTGCATTCACTGACAATAAAATTGCCAGTTGGAACTTATGAACAATAGAAGGCCATGGCCTGTATAGTAGTACAAAAACAAGATAAAATAGAAGTACAAGACACACAATGTTCTTTGATTGTATATCTGCTACGATTGTGTATCCGTTGTTTTAGCTGACTGACGCCAATATATCCAATATATAATGTTTCCCTGTTTATTGTTCTGCCTGAATCTACCACCTGTTGTGAATAAACTTCCAGGTTGCTCTGGTGTGCAAAGATCCCTGCCTATGCGTCTGATTTTCGACACTCACTTTCTGAAGTTTCTGATGAAAAGTTCATCTTATTTGATATATTAAGTTGATTTGACTTTTAAGTTGTAGTGAACTTCTGAAAGTTCAAGTGGCTCACAAGATAGTTCCAGTTCCAACTGGAAATTTTAATGTCAGTGAATGCAAAAATCTGAGTAAGGTGAACAATTTTGAGTTTTTACAGTTCACCGAGCTATAGTGAGGTCAACTTATCTGCGTTTGCTCATTTAAATATGTGTTATGGCAACCAGCTGCATTCAACATTTTGAACAAACTAATTTGACCAAAAAAATCACTGTATTACCAACCGTAATCGACAGGGCCATTCTCTGGGTCAGTCTTAGAAACATTAAGTTTCCCCTCTGGTTCACAGTGTGTGCGGCACGGTGGCTGAGTGGATAGCACTCTCGCTTCTTGACACGAAGGTCCTGGGTTCGAATCCCGGTCGGAACAGGGCCTTTCTGTGTGGAATTGGCATGTTCTCTGTGTCTGCATAGGTTTCCTCCGGGTGCTCCGGTTTCCCCTACCCAAGTGACCTTGGTCCATGAAATGCGCTATATAAATAAACATCATGATCTTTTAATGTGGGGGCTAATTTAAACTCAAAATAGTAAGTTATTGTAGGGGACAGTAATCTGAACTTAAAAAAGTAAGTTTTTACAGACTTGAAATTTCCAGTAACTTGAATTTAAACACTTAGTTGGCAGAACTTGGAAAACTTAACTGACACAACTTAATAAGTGTAGTTCTTCAAAACTTGAAGAATTAAGTTAATGCCTTCAACTCAAAAATCCTTCGCAGCTGGTTGCTTTGAAATTTTGAGTTGAATTAACTTTATCTTTTTTACAGTGTGCATGGACCAGAAGTCCAATTAAAATAATGGACAATTGCTCCTGCAGCCCTGAACAGGACATGCGAGGTGCGCGGGTCGGCCCGAAACCCGCAGTCAACCCGCGGGTCCCGCGGTTTCGGGCGGGTTGGATGCCTCAAAAATATGAGTCATGTCAGGTGCGGGTGGGTCGGGTCAGAAAGCTCCTGATCCCTATATAATATTATATATGTGAGCCACGGTATGGGAGTACCTTGAGTACATTTGCAATCGCGCAGGGAGGCTGTTAAACAAAGAAATCATGCTGACAAACAGGATCGCTCCTTCCTGACTCCCCGCTTAAAGCCTCAGAACACTCCAGTCCGAGGACAGACGTGTGATGACGGTGTGGGCCTCACAGCAGAGGCCTAAAGCAGGGGCCTCATTACTTTAATACTTACAGTCTGTGGTAAATACACGGGCTACATGTGGTACACGTGCTTAGACTATATTAATATTGTATGTGTAACATTCAAAATAGATTGAGTGAATATTCCCTTTTCCTCATTTAGTGATTTGCGGAGGAGAGGAGAGGAGCAGCGAGAGAAGTTTGGCAGTTAAAATAAATGAATTACAGCTTGCTAAATTATTTGAAAGCATCTTCATTATGATTGTTATATTTATGTATTTATTATAAATGTTAGAGATGCCAGAGAAAAGGCGTCTGCTTTTTTTCTGAGTGGGAGGAGACACCAGCGGAGCTGTTTGAGTCAGATAACGTTCAGCGTTATATTACCAATAGTTTCTCTTTCCATAACGATATTCTCTCTTTTTGGAAAGATCACCAACGTGATGCAAAAGTTTACGTTATATGCAGTAGTTTTAATGTCTGCGGGTTATTCCAGAGACTGGCCTGCTACAAGGAGTTGCCCGTTTAACCAGATTGTCGATGTGCCGGGGCAGAAACTCGCCAATGTAACCCTGCTCACAAGTGCCACCTGGTGGTTGTTTTGGTCATTGCAACGTCACTGGGAGGGGGGAAAATAAAAGACGCGTGAATCACACGTGAGTCTCGTGTGATTCACGCGTGAAAGGCGACAAAACGGAATGGGACCTACTGTATAAAAGTAAACTTCTCTAACAATTTGTGGTTTAGCGCTCTCTGTGATCCTGGTGTCTTTAAGAATAAGATTAAGAGATCCTTTATTTGTTCCACGGTGTGGAAATTTCAGTGTTGCATCACCAGTTACAGACGGTAGGAATGAGCAGCACACACACAGCACAGGATTAAAATACAAACTCTAACTCTAGCCTAAAATTAAGCAGTATAAAATATCTATAGCTAGCATTTTAAGGAAAGAAATCTAAAATGTCCAATTTCAGCGTGATGACGAAGCAAGACTTAAGTACAAAACCCCTGACTGTAAAATGATAATGTAAATTTCTCCATTGTTAGATCAATAAAGTTTATCTTATATTTTCTTATTCAGATATTGGATTCTTGAAGATCAAGAAGATCAGAGTAGATATAAAGACAAGCTAAAAATAAGTATATGAGACTGAACTGAACAAATTCAAAGCCCAGATGAGATCTGGGAGGACGAGAAGAAACATTGCTCAGACTCACCTCTCTTTTGGCACCGATCTGTTGGGACTGGGACTCTGAGACATTTATTCTTACTTCATAGAAAACCCAGGACCCTTCACTCAAGAAGGGTCCGTGGTGAAAATCCATTTCTCGTGTTTTTCACCGCGGTAAAGTGGCCCGGCATTTCGCAGTCGCAGTAAAGCACATTAAAAGCAGGTTGCCCCTGTTTGCTGTTACTTACGGTAAAGGTGGAACAGGAAGCCGCAGGGCTGAGCAAACAAAACGCAATGTTTTAAAATGAATCATCATTCATGAATGAATGAATGAGTGAAGAAGTCTGCAGTTGCAAAACTTAAATTTGTTTATGCATTTTTATCCCCTAATTCCCCCCGGCTTCCCATTCTACGTTTACCGTAGGTAACAGCATGAAACTTTACCGCCGCCGTTTTTTGCTGTTCTTTTCCGAAAGAATTAGAAAAAAAACTTAATTTAGCTAACTCTCTAGCATCCAGGTTGCTATCTATGCTGTCTTGCCACACGGTCACTTGACCGGCGCGGAAAAACTATAAACAACGACGTCACTCCAAGATCCTCCTATAGAAGAGCTGTTTTAACTGGACACGACTGAAAGAAAAGCAGATTCTAAAACTTTGGTGTCTGTTTTGTTGTGTTCAGGTTTCCCCCGGTGACACTGGCTGGGACGTGTTCAGCCTAGACTACCATGTGGACGGCCCCATCGCCACGGTGAGACTAAAGACCAGTTCTCATGCTCTAAAGCTGTGCTCCCCCCGGATCATGCGTTGCAGCGACTTTCAATGCACAGTCAATGGTGACGTTCACCCATGCGAGGAATTGAATGTACTTTTGTCCCGCGCGTCAGAGGCCTTGTTGTGGCAGAGGCCTTGTTGCGGCAGAGGCCTTGTTGCGGCAGAGGCCTTGTTGTGGCAGAGGCCTTGTTGCGGCAGAGGCCTTGTTGCGGCAGAGGCCTTGTTGTGGCAGAGGCCTTGTTGTGGCAGAGGCCTTGTTGTGGCAGAGGCCTTGTTGTGGCAGAGGCCTTGTTGTGGCAGAGGCCTTGTTGTGGCAGAGGCCTTGTTGTGGCAGAGGCCTTGTTGTGGCAGAGGCCTTGTTGCGGCAGAGGCGGTGGGTCCCACTGCGAGTTGAATGCAGCAAAGCAAAAGCAGGAGATGAGATTCACTGAACATACTCGCTCCACGCATGTGCAAAAAGTCAATCAGACAGCAGCAAAGTGGTCATAGGGACACAAGCCGGTCAAAACAGGAAGACAAAGTCACTCAAAAACAACCAAAACATGAGCTACACCTGTATTAAACCAGGATTAAACAACGGGGGACGTTGTTTAATCTACCACCCCGCGTTTTTCCCTAACGCAGGACAGTACGTCAGATTGACTAAATGCAGCTAATATTTAGAGAATGTGCGTCCATGCCTCCATCAACGCACGTCCATTCATTGACGTTGGGAAGACTGCTTAGAAGCTACTGTATTTAAAAAAAAAAAACATTGTGTTTCCCCGCAGGTCTTCACCAGAGAGTGCATGGGACATTACCTGCGGGTCTTCCATTTCTTATGGAGAGCCAAACGGATGGAGTACACGCTCACAGACATCTGGAAGGGGCAGATGTGCAACGCCAAGCTGCTCAAGACAATGCCAGGTATGAAGGCTATAGCCCATTGAGGCAGGAAACGCATTCCCTCATTTCTGCCTCTCGAGCCGGGAGAGCTGTGGCGCACTTCTACCTTTGAGGCCGGGAAAGCGGACACGTCGATTTATCTTTTTGGACCAATTCTCTTGTCCGTTGAAATGCATCAGGATAAACCTAGGATGAGAATTTTCTGCAGATCTGCGAATTCAGACTATTTCCTGCTGTTGTTTGCACTACGTACTTGAACAGGATTCAACATCCTTCATTCTGACTCCGACAGCCGCGTTGATAATAGCTCAGTGAACGCTCAGCCGTAACGTGGCACAGAGCGCAGACTATAGAAGCGCAGACAGACCATAAACGCGCGTACAGGACAAAAGTAAAATGTATCTCAAACATTTTAAGTATTTTACTTACTTAAAAAAGAGCCCTGTGAGTCATTATTTGACATTTTGAGAGTGGATTTTTTCCCCCAAACAGTTATTGCCAACTTGTTAACTTATTGTATTGAGAAATATTTATTATTCTTGCTTTTTTTTGGTTGTTTTATCATCTTCCCTGTGTGGAAGTTGTATATTTTTTGTATTATTCTACAGAAGGTTTATAATAATGCACTCCATTCTTCTTGAAAGCCACAGTTGTCAGCGCTCACATTATGATGTTTCTATCTGCAACAGAAGCTGAAATATCAGACGTTGAATTTTTAGGAAAACGTCAGGTTTTAGAGGGTAATTCTAAAGTCGGCCATAGGTTTTACAGCTATGTTTTACCAGGGGTGTTTTACCTGATGTGTTTTACCAGGGGTGTTTTACCTGATGTGTTTTACCAGGGGTGTTTTACCTGATGTGTTTTACCAGGGGTGTTTTACCTGATGTGTTTTACCAGGCGTGTTTTACCTGATGTGTTTTACCAGGCGTGTTTTACCTGATGTGTTTTACCAGGCGTGTTTTACCTGATGTGTTTTACCAGGCGTGTTTTACCTGATGTGTTTTACCAGGCGTGTCAGGCCTAAATGGGTTAAAGCTGAAGAATATAACTTCAGAAACTCAAACACATGTAGTTTCAACTGAAGGAGGAGTGTCAAAAGAAAATGTCCAAATCAGACCACAACATGTGTGCTCAGCTGTGTTCATCTGATGACAGTGTTATCTTTAATGTTCTGTAGAGCCCTGTGAGTCACTATGTGAAGCTTTGGGCTGAGAAATTAAGTTTTGTTTTTGTTCAGAATTATCTGGAGTTTTGCACCAGTGTCACATCCTGGCCTCTGAGATGGTCCACTTCATCCACCAGATGCAGTACTACATCACCTTTGAGGTAATTGTTCTGTTACTACTGCTCAGAGTCAGAATCATTTTTATTTCCATGTAAGTAACAGGAAGTCACAGACTAGGAATTTGCTTTGGCTCTCGTGCAATCAAGTCAAAATTAGAGAAGAATATGGCATAGTAAGGCATAATAAAACATTTTCTGCTATTACTAGTGCTGCAGCAACTACTACTATTACTATTACTACTGCTGCTGCTACTGCTGCTGCTTTCTCTGTTGCTGTTAGTCAGTGTGACACTAAGAGGTTGTTCATATGATCATATGAATAACAGACTACACTGTAGATCTGCTGGAGGAGAAGGCACACACAGGGAGGACTCTCTCACAGGGTTCTCTCTTTCTCACATGGGTCTCTCTCGCTTCGCAGGTGCTGGAGTGTTCGTGGGATGAGCTGTGGACGAAAGTGCAGCGTGCTCAGGACCTGGATCACATCATCGCGGCTCATGAGACTTTCCTAGATTCAGTGATCTGCAGATGTCTCCTGGACAACAACAGCCGGGTTAGACATATGGGACTACTTCAGACACTTTAGACATATGGGACTACTTTAGGTACACTCAATATCTGATCTGATTGGTATGCTACCATTAGCACAACTTCTCGTAAGCTGTACAACAATCACTGATGAAATGGTACAAAAGCAACGCACTGCTAGCAATATAAAAGTACAATAACTGAAAGATTACCGTCAGTTTCACGTCCAAAGTTAGCCCGAGGCAGTTCCACTCCCGCAGTCTGTTTTGCGGTGTCTGCAGTTACAGCCAGAGCAGGTATAGCCACTTTCAGCTGCCTTGCTGTTCTGTTTACCTGCACTGCAGACACTCGAGGAGGTGTGGCTTGTTTGCAACAGCGCCGCCCCTGTGGAGAAGTGGAGAAGAACTAGCGTCATGCAAAGTGTCAACTTAGCACTTTACAGGGCCTGTATTCATACACAAGCTGAATCAATGATCTTTTTTAATAAAATTACAGGTTTTAATACGCCTTGTATGTAATAATGCACATTTTTATGAACTCATAAAAAATTAAATCAGGTTCAGCTCCTTTAAGCACCCATGAAATCACGTGGCAACCAAAAAGCACGCTTCTCACGCTCTTTTATGTCACCTGTAAACCAATGTATTTCCTGATGGCGCATTGACATGGAGCGTCTTCCAGCGCTGATGAGTTAAATATTCATAGAAAGGTCACATTTGTGATATTAACATGCTTTTTCCTTTGTGAGTGTATCTGTGTCGAAGCTCCTGTTTGCTGATTACTTTCTCCTCCTTTTCTTTCTCTTCCTCCTCCTCTTCTTCCTCTTCCTCACCCTCCTCCTCTTCCTCACTGTGATGTTGTGTTTTGCAGTCGCTGCTGCATCAGCTTCGCTCCATCTTCGATCAGATCATTGAGTTCCAGAGCGTCCAGGACTCACTGTACAGTCTGAGGCTGCAAGAGGAGGAGAGGAGGAGGAAGAGAGAGGAAGAGGTGAGTGTGAGGCTGCAGGAGGAGGAAAGAGGAGGTGAGTAGGATGCTGCAGGAGGACTGAGGAGGAGCAGGTGAGTGTGATGCTGCAGTATGAGGAGGAGGTGAGGGAGAGTAGAGGAAAGGAGAGGAGAGAGACTGGGTGTTGCATCGGCCTCATGTCGAATGCACGTTCACCAAAATGCGTCCAAAACGCAACATTGAAAACCTTCAATTTTCCTCCTGGTGTTTCAGGGCGAGTGGGGAGTGACCGCTGAGCAGGAAGCAGAGGAGAAGCGACGCATCCAGGACTTTGAGAAGACTGTCCCCAAGATGTCCTCTCAGCTGCGCCTCCTCACACACTTCTACCAGGTAAGATCACATGACTGACGAAGTACCAAAGACTGCATACAGATGGACAATGCTAACCCGCTAGCTCAAATAGCCCAATTGGGAAGTTCTCATGGTGAAGTTTGGCTCTTCTCCCTGGCTTCTATTGACTTACATTGAAGAGTAAACTCCTTCTGGTTGCTCGCTATGGTCTCTCTCTCTCTACCTGGTCTCTCTATGGTCTCTCTCTCTGGTCTCTCCCTGGTATCTCTCCATGGTCTCTCTCTCTACCGGCTCTCTCTCTTTGGTCTCTTTCTGGTAACTGTCTCTGATCATGCTCTGGTCTCTCTCCAGTCTCTTTCTCTGGTCTCTCTCTCTGGTTGCTCTCCATGGTCTCTCTCTTTGGTCTCTCTTTGGTCACTCTCTGGTCACTCTCTCTGGTCTCTCTCTCTGGTCTTTCTTTGGTCTCTCTCTCTGGTCAATCTCTCTGGTCTCTCTCTCTGCTCTCTCTTTGGTCACTCTCTCTGGTCTCTCTCTCTGGTCTCTCTTTGGTCACTCTCTCTGGTCTCTCTCTCTGGTCTCTCTTTGGTCACTTTCTGGTCACTCTCTTTGGTCTCTCTCTTTGGTCACTCTCTGGTCTCTCTCTCTGGTCTCTCTCTCTGGTCTCTCTTTGGTCACTCTCTAAGGTCACTCTCTTTGTGCCACATAAATAAATACACATATCTACTGCAGAGCCTGGTGCAGCAGTTCCTGGTTCTGCTCATGACGAGTCCAGACGAGAGCCTGCGCTTCCTGAGCTTCAGACTGGACTTCAACGAACACTACAGGTCTGTTCTGAAAATACACTTGTCACTTTACCTGCTGCGATTATTTCTATTGTTTATTCTGGTCATATTCTCTGCTGCTAAAGGACAATATAACCATCTGTAAATACCTCCTGCTGATACAGAGTAGACTCCACTAGTGACGGATGCTTTTGGCTCCAGAGTTTATTCATCATAGCTCCTTTTATTGTACATGTGTGTTTTCCTACATGTCTTTTTCTTTTTCTTTTTCCTCAGAGCCCGGGAGCCGAGGCTGCGAGCATCGTTAGGCACCAGCAGAGGGCGACGCCTGTCAAACATCTAACATCCACCACCTAGGACTACAAACATGTCTGCCCAGATCTATAGATGCTATAGATGCTATAGATGCTATGATCTATGCTTTGTTCTTTTGAAGTGTTTTTGAATGACAGCCATGTTTGAAGTTCTTGTATTTGCGTCTGTGTTTGTAGTCCTTCTCGGCTGGTGGCCACTTTTGGTTTCCTTTTGGTATGGCCCCATGTTTGTAGTCCTTGATGACTTCCATAGTTTTAGTTCTTGTTGATTAGCCTCTATGTTAAAAGTCCTTGATAGATAGTGGCCATGTTTGTAGATCTGGTAAACCATGTTTGCAGTACTTGTGATTGCCTTCATTTTTGTAGTTCTTGCTGATTTACATATTTGTAGTCCTTGTGATTGCCTCCATGCTTGAAGTCCTTGATGATTTACATAGTTGTAGTCCTTGTTGGTTGGTAGCTATATGTGAATTAATTATGATTGCCACCATATTTGAAGATTTGAAGATCTATGGCTGTATCCGAATGTCCTCACTATACCCTATATAGTGCACTATATAGTGGTCACGCCATTTTGTAGGGGTGTCCGAATGTCCAGAGAGAAAAAGTAGTGCACTGGAATTTTCCCACAATGCATCTCGAAAATGTAGTGAGCAGCAGTGGTCACTATACGGAAGTAAAATGGCGGAGGCAGCGAGAGACGTGTTGGAACAGGAGCGGGACATGAGCTATAAATGTGAGTTTTTGATCATCATAAATATGGAAATGTGTAAACCGTGATATATTGTTGACGATAAGCTGCCAAAATACACATTTGAAGTCAGAATACCATTGCCTTTTACTGCGAAACAACGTACCAATGTTATGCCGCGAAAGTGTTAGCATTTTCGCATATCATAACATTAACATCTAAAGCGAACGCTACAGAAACGGGTCACTGGTGGTCAGTCATTAATGTTATTAAAGCACTTGTGTTATATGTATAGCATTTATTGTGTGTTTAATGTTTTTTAAAGGGACAGACACTGATGTGGAGAGACTCATCTGACTGCGGGTGAAAAATTTGCATCGGCGGCTGGATGGGAGTATGACCATTATGAATAAATACTTATTCAAAAAACGTCTACTCATATTCAAATGTTTTTATGTATCGTTACTTTAGGGCAGTAATAAAGGAAATGGGGCTGAGCCGCCTGATCAGCCCTGCCAGAGCGGCCAAGAAGTGGGAGAACCTGAAAAAGACCTACAAGGTTTGTTTCTTTGAAGCTAATTTGTGAAGCATTTATTATACAAAACTCACTGTTTTAAGGAGCTCAGACAGCCACGCACAGGGACAGGGACAGAAGGAGGGGAGCCCATCGCCATATCTTGGAAGTGGTACTCCCTCATGGATGAGGCAGCAGGCCATCTGTGCAGCCTCCCTGCCTGATTGCCTCATCCATGGGGGAGGGTGTTTCCACAAGGAGAGGGGAAGAAGAGAGGAAGAGAGGGGGGAGAGACTGTTGAGTTTGTTGGAGAGAATTGTTGAGAAGTTGTAAATAGTAAATAGTAAAAAATACATAAAAATGTATTTTGATAAGTGTAGTTTGAACTATATGCATATCGACATACAATGATGAACACTATTTACAAAAAATTTTTTAATCAACTAGACATTTGTAAAGAACTATACATACATTCAACAATTTCTTTTTAGATATTTACATATTCAATTGTTTTTGTTTTTATTTAAATAGGCCAAAACACAGATTATTCAAACATTTAATTAATGTTGGGGTGGAAAGTGCTGCTGCCATCCGTCCACGCAGCTCCTGTCCACACTGCTGATCAGGCTGGTGCTGCTGATGCTGGTCCTGCTCATCATCAGGCCCTGGCTCCTCTTCCACTGGCTTCTAGAGATCACCATCGCTGACGCAGATGTTGTGCAGGATGGCGCAACAGGCAGTCACCTGGACTGCAAAGGTGGGTTGGACTTCCAGTGCCTTGGAAAAAAATGGATCGCTATCTTGCTTTCATCATACCAAACGCTCTTTCTGTTACAGATCGTGCCCGTGCATGGTGCCGGTTGAAGCGGGCTTCCACTGGGCTCCGAACAGGCTCTCTGTATGGAGTGAGGAGTGTGATGGGCTGACGGAGGCAAGGGTAACCCCCATCCCCAAGGAGGACGTGTCCATTTGGGGGATAGAGCCGGTGGACATACAGGGGGCTGTTTTTAAGCACCCGAGAATCGTGCACAGATCCGGGGTAGCCAACAAACAAATCAATAAATAAGCCATGGTGATTACACACAGCCTGCATTTGAATGGAATAAAACAATTTCCTGTTAAAATAACACTGTGCATTTTCTTGAAGGGGCTTTATTCTAATGTGGCAGCCGTCGATGCTCCCCACAACATTATTGAGAGCAGCTGATCCAGCCAGCAACTGAAACCCAGCTGCAACTTGGGGAAGTTCCTCCAGGGAAGGGAAATGAATTATTTGGCCACGCATTTGAAGGATCTGGTTGGCCACCCTGTGGATCACATCGTGGACCGTAGACTGAGGCATGTCCAATGCCCTGGCGACAACACGGTACGCGGTGCCACTGGCCAACCAAAAGAGGAAGACCAAAACCTCCATGTCCTGGCTCCAGCCCTGGTGATGAGCACTCCTCAGGTGGCTAACCAGACGGGTGATGGTGGTTCGAGTGAGACGAAAATCGGGGCGAAGGTCAGACTGGCCATTTAAGTACATGCTGAGTAGGGGTACATGGTGGTTCAGTCGGCAGTACACCGGTGGTTCACCCTAAAACAAAACAAAAATTCTCTTAAACTTAATATGATACTTCTAGATTCATTTTTTAATTCTGTATCTGCACTTTTAGTTATGAGTGCAGACACAGGAATAAGTACTCATTTTTCATTTTGAGATTAAAAAATGTAAATAAAAATGAAGAGTATATAGCTGAAGTCATGTTCTTTTGTGCCCTGGCATTGATTTTACCAAATGTATTGTGTGTTGCAGGGAGCTGGAGCTGCCCTGAGACAACTGAAGTAGAAACCCTCACTACATCACTCGCACCTAATAACACACAAAAAAATCACAGAAGCCCTGTGCCCCATGGCCAAGCAAATTCTATTATTGTTTAATGATTAAGTACTCATTTTTCATTTAGAAAAAATGAGTACTTAATCCATTTCCCTTGCTATGGTTTTGTGTTCTTTCAACCAATAAAATATTTTAATGTTCTTGCATTTTAAGTGAGTGTGTCTATACAATGTGTTTTCTTGTTGAAATATGTCTAAATGTATATGACTAATGTGTTTCTCATTGACTGAGAATAGTATTTTTAACTAGTAAGTACACCAAAAGTACTATAATTTACCCAGTAGATGGTGCTAATGCTATATAGACAAAGGACGAATACAATACTTACACGACGCCTTGCTAATGAAAGAAGAGCCATTCTCCTCCTCCGCCTCATCGCCTGTCTTCGCCTTCTCTCTGTTCGGCGGTTTTTAATTCGCATTATGAGAAGTTGTATAATTGTTAACAAAAACACCGCAAAATTCAGTGGAGGTGCCATTTCACCAGTGGTAGAGGAGCCGGTCAGGTGGCGTGAATATGAAAGACGTTAAGCGAATAAGTCAACCAAAATTCATAAATATGAATATAAATTGTAAAAACGTTTTATACATGTATATTAGACAAATATTGATATTTTAATATACTTTTATTTATATATAAAATTATATTGATCCAATGACATGTGACAGGGGTGTGATGTGGGCCGCGGCTAAAAATAGTGTGCAGCTGTCCGAATCGCCAACAGAATGAGTGCACTGACTCACTCACTCAGTCGCTATATAGTCCCGAACTATATAGTGAGTGAGTGAATAGGGTATAGTGTGGACATTCGGATACAGCATATGGTCGTTATGGTTGTGTGAGGTCAGAACTATGAGTGTGGCCGTGTGATACTGTGATTGGCACCTGGACTTGGCGGACTCCGTCTCGGACCCGGAGGTACAGGTCGGTCTGGTCCAGGACGTAGACCAGAGACCCTTCGGGATGCCCCCGGGCTGTGGCCCTCATGGTGTCGTAGGAGCGGAGAACTGTGACCTGAATGAGGACTCAGCTTTAGTCGAGCTGCACCTTGTGTGTGTGAGCTGTCTTCTTCTTTTAACTCGGTTACATTGTCTCCTCATCAAAAACAGACCTAAGGTTAAAGCTCTGACTGCAGACGCATAGGGCGGTTACAGACTGAATAGTTGTTTCATTATATTTTTGACTGAAAGGGACAGTGTGTAATCTGCTTTTAGTGTCCCATTAAGTCATCACAGGACTTAGCTTTGTACCTAATTCATTTGTTTGGTATTTACAGTTTTTTCCTGTTGCTTGAACACAGTTTGCAAAATTTCAAACTCTGCTCTCAAAACTCAAACTCTGTTCTCAAAACTCAAACTCTGTTCTCAAAACTCAACTCTGCTCTCAAAATTAAACAATAATTCGTCAAAATGAAACTCTGAGGACAAAATGACACACACTTGCATCACGTGAACACACTTTCAGATTGGAAGCAACACACTACAGTACTTTATATAAAACACTACAGTACTTTTTATAAAACACTACAGTCATTTTCACTGTTTTAATTCTGTTTATCAGTTAGTTTTCTGTGAAGCTCAATGGAACTGTTTTGGTTCTCAGTACCACTGAAAGGTTACAAACAATATCAACTCAATACAGTACAGTACTACAGTATACTGTACAGTACAGTACTACAGTATATACTGTACATCACAGTACAGTGCTACAATATTCTGTACATCACAGTACTACAGTGTACCGTACATCACAGTATTACTGTATACTTTACATCACAGTATTACTGTATACTGTATATCATAGTACTATAGTATACAGTATATCACAATTATTACGGTATACTTTACTGCATTTGTGTCAATGCAGTAAAACAAAAAAACTCGAATGTAAAACTAAGCAATTGTGCGTGTGTGGATCATGGTTCATGGTCTATTTCCACAAAGGCAAGTTCCTGTTGTTGGTGAACAGTTGCCGACCACCTCCAGATGTTCTTTTAGTCATTTGTATAAATATGAAACCACAAATTGTTACTATAGGTTTAGTTTTTTTACATTACAAATGTGTACAGTACTGTAGTATCTCAGTTTTATGTACTTTACTGTCTTGTATGTTTCACAAAACTACATTTTTTTCAAAAGGAGCAATAGCCAACTTGCAAAACAGTACATGTGATACAGAACAGTACTGTAATACTGTAGTAGATACAGTCTGCAGTACAGAGTTACAGTACAGTACAGTTACAGAGTCACAGTACATGTGATAAGATCAGTACTGTAATACTGTAGATACAGGTCTGCAGTAGAGCGTTGGAAACATGTTTCGAACTGAAGGTCCTGAAGGACTTGTCTGGATTCTCTGTTTCCCTCAGTTTGAGGCCACGATTTATCACATGATCCACAAGGTTATCTTATGTCATCAAAATGTTGTGTTGTTTTGTCTCTTTAACTCCTTGTTTCCTCTTCCTCTCTCTTGCTCTTCCTGCCTTCCGACTTGCAGAGTTTCTGAAAATGGCTAAACTGAGGCACTTTTGTTGTCGATTTGATGTGTGTTGCATTTTGTAAGTCAGTGTTTCATGTGTGTGTCTCAGTGTTTTTAGTCACTCAATGTGTTTGGTATTTTGTAAATGATGTGTTTTCCAACGATAACTCAGGATTGCAAATAAGTGTTTATGTATGACCAGTGTGTAGTGAGCGGAGAAACGTGTGTTTGCAGAAAGAGAAAGTGTGTTGTAGAAATGAAAGTAGAGTGCAAAGCAGTACTTTTGTTTAAGGAATAGTCAGTCTGTATTTTAGGTTTAGAACCAAAAGCTTCAAGTTCTGCAACTTTGGTCTAAGCGTCTGTCTATAGTGTTTCAAGCAACAGGAAAAAACTGTATAAACAAATGTGAATTTTCTATAATATTTAATATTTGTCTGTTAATATGCTGTCTGTGAACACATACATCAATGAAAGACTCATTAAGTGTAAAATGCTTACGTACCCTGAAGAATGCCTGGTGTACCCGGTGCTCACAGGGGGTCTGGTGGGCCAGGGGATGCTGATGGCTGTCAAACAAAATGTTCTCAAGTAAAGAAGTAAAGTTGTGCCGTAAACATGTGCGACAGCGATCACTCTGCACTCCCCGTCCATCCACAGACACTGTTGATCCTGGAGGACCCAGGGGGCCCTGGAGGTCTGGCGGCCCATCATTGCCGCGCCAGGAGGTCCAGGAAGCCTGGAAAGCCCGGTGGGCCGATGATGGAGTCTCCTTTAGGGCCCTGAGGGAGAGCATGTTTGTGAGATTCATCCCATGGCTAACATCCCAATAAAAAGCCAGCGTACCGGAGGCCGGGGGTCTCTGGAGGTCCAAAACCAGCGCCTAGCGAGGGTAATAGTACCCACCACGCTGGGCTCTCCTTTCTCTCCTTTAGACCAGCCTCTCTCTGAGCTGTCCTGGTAAATTCAAACAACGTGACACAGTGGTGACAGATCTATTACACATTTCTACTCCTTACCTCAGTGTGTGGATGTCAAAACTGGGGTCCCGCTCCTAACCGGGAAAAGCATGACTTTATGTATTGTAAACATCACTATTGATTTAAGAGGAAAGTCTACTGGCTGGCTGGGTAACCTGGCTCCCCCCGATCTCCTTTGTCTCCTTTGTAGCTGCCCATCAAAAAAGAGTTGTGTTATAAATGTTCTCCTCTTCTATTTTCAGACACAGTTTCAGCAGAAGTTCTGACACGATTGGACTTTATTCACAATGACACCATGCCGCTGGGTCATTTGTGAATTTGTGAAACGTTCGGGACGTTCGGGACCATTTCTAGCACTGTGAAATAAGAAAGTGCAGGCCTATGGGCGTGAGGCCCTGAGGGCGTGAGGCCCCGTGGGCATGCGTGTGTTGTGTCCCAGCTTAAGGGGGCCACAGACAGTTTATGGTCAAGGTCTCTCACCTGGGTAGTACCTGGACGGGTCTTCATAGCCCTGGAACCCAGAGCGAAACACGCTCAATATGATTATAACTTGATCTGTTAATTTGGACTCATAACTCACCCGTGTGTGTTGACATAAGGAGTAGGGGGCTGGTGGTCAGGAGGCCCGGGTGGACAGGAGGCCTGAGCCGTAGCTGCGAATGAGTACTGACCATGTAGTACTCACCGACATGTACTGTACTTACAGGCAAGGAGTATCCTTCGCTGGAGTCCTCTCTCTCCTTTGACCGTTCAGTCCAGGACGGGCCCTGCATGGCTCAGCATTAGCAACTGTACCTCGCCATAACCACACCAAAAATACCCCGTTTTACATCTTACGGCCGGCCTGGGGTAACACACTTCTCCTTCTGACCCTACAGTTCCATATGGGCACTACAGAGAATGTGTTAGACCAGAACAACAGCAGATATGAAGGTTAGACGGGTGGTACTCACTGGGGTCCCTCGGGTCCTGGGGGTCCTGGGGGCCTGGATCACCCCTGAAACATATACAGTGGGAGAATAAACTGAAATGTCACAAAATAAAGTTTCCTTTCATTTGTCCGGTTTTCCCGACAGGTCGCCAAGGTACCTGGGTCGCGCCGGTCCGGAAGGTTAGCTGCAGTCCCCGTTCTCCCCCTGTACACGAGGGGTTCTCATAGGCACATATTGGTGGGTGTGTTTGAGCTCATGGAAACTCCTTTGTGGGCATTTCCAGGAGCCCCACGTCCCCCTGGTCACCTTTCTGTCGTGAGGCCTGAAAGAACACCAGGCTCAAGGGCGACGGCTGCGTAGTACATGTTGTTTTCTCGGGGCGGCAGTAACCGGGACTCAGGGCATTCCTGCTCTCCGGGCTCCACCAATCTCCCCCCTGAAAGAACCGGATCATTAAACACTGGGGGCAAACATAACTTCACAGAGACAGAATTTTCATTCGATGAGAGCAGCACTCACCTCCTCTTCGGACCTTCGCATCCAAAACTGGTCTTCTATACGTATAGACACGACCGTTAGAAGTTTCAGTCCGGGGGGCAGGTCAGTGTGGAGCCGCGGGTCTGTGTGGAGCCGCCGGTCAGTGTGGAGCAGCCGGGTCAGTGTGGAGCAGCCGGGTCAGTCGTGTGGTGGGCAGCAGCGGGTCAGTGTGGTGGGCAGCAGCGGGTCAGTGTGGTGGGCAGCAGCGGGTCAGTGTGGTGGGCAGCAGGCGGTGTCAGTGTGGTGGGCAGCAGCCGGGCGGTGACAGTGAGAGTTAGTCATTTAAAAACACTTACGGATCTTATGGCTTATTAGTGGATGAGTGTTGTTATGACGCTGGATTCGTTCATCACAGACTTACATCACTTCCTGGTTGATAGATGATATATCTGGAGGTCCTGGAGGTCCAGGTGGACCACCTTTCGCCCTGGTAAACCCTAGAAAACATTCTTTATTTTCTAGTATCAATGTGAAAAGAACTGGTTGTCACTGAGGTTTCCTTTGGGTCCTCGGTCTCCTTTAGACCCGGTCAAAACATTTTACACATATATGAACAAAGGGCTCCAATAATAAACACAATCAGATGCGAGGATTACTTCCTGTCCGGGAAAAGCCGCCATGCCGGGGATCCCAGGGGGGGGGGGGCCCGAGGGCCTCTCTGCCCCTTGTCTCCATGGTTTACCAGGCCAACCCGGTTTTCCCTAAAGGGGATTGTTAGTCAATCCACCAAGTTAGCAAACAGATCTCAATACAAATGAGAGTCACAGGTCGTCGTGAGTGATCGGAGCTTTCAGAGGAATCCATGTTTGGTCATGCTCTGAGGGGAACTTACGTAGGCGGGTGCCCAGGAGGGACCTCTAACAATCAACACACCACTATAAACCAGCAGACTCAGACCGCTGACAATAGGAGCAATAAACAAGGGATAGTATGTGGACCTGGGCTCCGCTCATTGGACATCGCATTCATCCACATCACCGCTGTTAGGACTATCAGAGGAAATCAAGGTGAGTCCCAAAATGAGGCAGAGCATTGTGCATTGTATAGTGCACAATAGGGGATCATAGGGGGGGCTGGCAGGTCTGGTAGGTCTGGTGGTCCACTTGGTCATTAGGTCTGGGAGGACCTGCCAACGCGTTGGCCTGGAGTGCCTGGTGCAGGACTCCTGTGTTCTCCCGGTCACAAAATGAGTGAGAGAACCAGAGCAGAGACAAAGGTTCATCAGCGCAACCGAGAAGCTCAGGAGGCACTCTTAGTTAGAGACTGGGACTAGGACTGCAGGGGTTAGGCCTGCAGGGACTAGAGGATACAGTACATGTGTATATAACAGGACTATAATGAATGCAGGAGCATTAGCTGAGGAGTGTGCTTCATCCTTTGCCGCGTCTGAAGAGCTGACATCTCAGAGTTCTCCTTGTGAAAGAGCGCAAACAACAAGCCACATGAGACCAGAACCAGGACTGAAACAATTGTGGATATGCACCCAGTACTTTCTCATTGCGGTCCAGTTTGACCTGACCGGTCCAGGAGGAGCAGGGGGTCCTTGGTTCATGGGACAAAACCTCAGTGTATCAGCGTTGATCATGTATTACTCAGTGATGTGGAACCGTTACTTACAGGAATAACCAGGCACTCCATCCTGTCCTGGCGGTCAGGCGGTCCAACCGCCCTGGCCCATTGGCTCCAAAAGTGACCTGATGTGCCCGGGGGAGCCAGGGGGGCCTGAGAGGCCTGGAACCCCGGGCGCCTGTACAAAGTGCAGTTCGCAGGAAACACGTTGGGAGAAATCTGCAAAGGGACACGAAGTATAAAAATGATCTGAGTGCTCTGTCGTACCACCCTAAAAACAGCAAGTCAAAACTGTCAGTGAAAAACATGTACAGTAAAAGTAAAAAGCAAAGGAAAGGTGCCATACCTTCGATCCTTTGTCTCCGGAGCTTCCTTTGCTCCCGGGGGGCCCTCGAGGGCCCATTGGCCCCTGGCACATTGATACCAAAAGTTAAAATCCTAGAGAGGGATTAGTTTAACATGAGTTTGTAAAGGACTTACAACTTTCCCATCTTCTCCTGGATCTGCCTGTGCACAAATCCCACACAAACAAGTTGATATCATCCGAACAAAATTGTGTAGAGCAATCTCTCACTCACTGGTTCTCCGTCTGCTCCTCGAGGTCCCGGAGCCCCATCTAGACCTGGAATTCCTGGTGATCCCTGGGGCCCAGAGACCTGCTGTACTATAGAGCCATCCCCGAGCCGGGCCACCTCTGCTCCAAGTCCTGGGGCTCCAGGAGGCCCTTGAGGTCCTGGGAGCCCACGATCACCTTTGTTACCTTTGTAACCAATGCCAGGGCTGCCCTGAGACCATTTAAAAAAACGCAGACAATAATGTGAGTGGAACGCATCCTCATGTCTCACACTTTCCACAGGGGACGCTGCCTCAACAACACAATCTTTGTGGACGAGAGGCATCTGATTGAATGGCTCATATCTGGATTTACAAAGACAATATAGAATATACAACACATATAAAAACACCAGGATCACAGAGTGCTCTACACCAAACTGGTGAGGTTGAGACGGTTTCCGAGCTAGAGGAGTTTAGCATACATGTGAGACAATAGGAGTCAGAGCAAGTTGGAGTCAAACGGGCACTTCCCTATTGTGTTTGCGCTATCCTAGTAGCATTAGGCTAATGGGTTAGCATTGTCCATCTGTAAATGGTCTATGGACTAAAGCAGCCCTCAACTGTAGGACTTAGCTAGGAGGTAACCAGACCGACCAGAGTATGAAAGGAGCACTGACCTTCACCCCCTTTTCTCCCTGAAAGAAAGCAGAGAGCAGAGTGAGTCACATGACGTCGCGGACAGCAGAGGCCAGACTGATCCTCTTTACCTTGTGGCCTGTCTCTGAAGACCCAGACCCAGCAAAGGCGGATCCTGCTTCCCCTTTGGGTCCTGCGATACCCCGGTCCCCCTTCGCACCTTTCTCTCCTCTGTCACCCTTCTCTCCTCTGGTCCCGGCTGGACCTGGCGTCACATGACACGGGTCGGATCAGGATCAGATCAGGGTCAGATCAGTTCAGTGGGAATGAAACAGTTTTTTGGGGATGACTCTACGCTTTGAACATCTAGAGATTGACAGTTTGTCTTGACAAAACAACATAATTTTACCAACTTCAACAGCTTTTCTTCCAACATTGTCCTGTATCGTTCTACATCCATCTTCCCATCAACCCTGACACTTCTCGGTTGCTGCTGAAGAAAAGCAGCCCCACAGCTGGATGCTTCCACCCCCATATCTGAGACTGAGGTTTGTGCACTGAGGGAAATGAGCAGTGTCAGTTTTGGGTCATACTTAACAGTTATATTCTGGACTCCTCTGACCACAGCTCCTTCTCCCTCAAACTGACGACAGTGTTAGTGTTGGTCTGCTCTGTCTTTCTTTCCACTCTTTCTATTGACCTCTCATGAAGGTTGTATCTGTATAGTGTAGACTAATATTTATTTCATGTACAGACTCCCCGTAGTGAACTGTGGATGTCTGCATTTCCTGATTATTGCACTGATGCCTCACAGAACAGCTGTCATTAGTCCGTAAGGGTGACTGGTTAAGTTTAGGTGTCTAAGTAATAGTGGTTAAGTTTAGGGTTAAGGCTGGGTTGGGGTTATTTTATGGGAATGGCTGGTTAAGTTTAGGCATGAATAGGTAGTTTTTTATATTTACTTCGGCTCCCGTCCAGATTCCGTGACGTAATCTACTGCTGCGTATGCTCATTGGATCAAACTGAACTTTTTTTTTTTTTTTTATTATTATTATTTTTTTTTTAAATTGAACAAATCAAACAGGCTTACATATTTAGTACAATTTCAGTTTTGCGTCATAAAAACAACCAAAAGAACAGAACAAGAACATAGAAAGCTATATTACTGAGTTACAAGGGTCAGAGGTAAATTCACAATATTTTCATACAAACAAATTGCATTCTTTGAGTTACACAGCCTCAAAGAGTCCCTAAAGATTGATAATTCGCTCAGAAATAACTTGGAGAGCAATTGGTATTTGTGCCGCATTTTTCAGGAACAATGTGGTGTCGTCGGCAAGCTGACTTATAGCAAGTGGGCGACCTGCAACATCTAATTTTTTTAGGTTCTCACATGTTTTGATCATAATACTTAAAATTTCTGCAACTAAAATAAACAAAAGTGGGGATGACGGGCAACCCTGACGAATTCTTTTTTGGATATCAAAATGTCTGCACGAGCCAAAAGGGAGTAGAACAGAACTATTAAGGTCACTATACAGCATCTGGATGAGTCCACAAAAGGCATCTCCAAAACCAAAGTAGCGTAGTGTGTCTAACATAAAGGAGTGGTCTACACAGTCAAAAGCCTTTTTAAAATCCAAAAATAAAATAAAACCGTCATCGTCGATTTTGTCTCTATAGTCCAGTAGGTCAAACACCAGTCTAATGTTGTTGTGGATGGAACGACCTTTAAGAAAACCTGATTGAGTTTTACTTATTATTTGAGAGATTCCATCTTTAATCCTATTTGCAATAACATGAGCTAACAATTTATAATCTACATTGAGTAGTGTTATTGGACGTAGATTATCTAGATATTTCTTGTCTTTGCCGCTTTTTGGAATGAGTGATATGAGACCTTGTTTCATCGTGGTCATTAATGTTCTATTTTTGACACATTCCTGTAGGGCAAAAAACAATAAGTCTTTATGTCCCCCCAAAAATGCTTATAAAAATCTGATGAAAGGCCATGTTGACCTGGAGACTTCCGTAGGGACAATTGTTTGACTGCAATATCAAGTTCAAACATCTCAACATCTGAGTCACACAAGTTTTTAAAGTCTGAAGAAATGGATGGTATGTTGCGTTTTATGCTTTCTAAAAGTACAGAGTCTCTGACTGTGTCAGAACAGGTGTATAAATCTTTGTAGAATCTATAAACTTTTTCAGTGATCAAGTTAGTGATCAAACTGAACTTCCGGACGAATCCGGGAGTGACACGCGCACTCGCTCTCGTGACCCCTACAGGATTCAGTTCCGGTTGTCCCCTGTCTAAGAGGGGAAGACCGACGATCTCGCGAGACAGTTCCACGTTGGCGAGAGGCTGAGTTGGCGGCGCGGGCTTTTTGATTCTGACAGATACTGATTTCTGAGTGAATATCATGCCTTTGGACAATGAGGATGATGATTGGGATGATTCAGGGGGAATGAATTGGGAGAGCCCAGGGTATAAAAGGAAAAAGAAAAATATAAATGATGGATCTAGTTCTAGTGCGGAATCGGATGACACGGGGAAGAGAGCTCGCCCCATCACCGCTAATGATAGGGATAATCATGAATGGAAAGTGATTGTAGAGTTCAGTGAGTCCTTCCATTTGCTGAAAATTGCAAAAGCTCTAGAAGCTGTAATTGGTAAAGTAAAGTTTGCAAAATACTTGAACAATAAACGCATTTTGGTTTGTATGTCTAGTCGAGAACAACAAGGTAAATTGATTCGAGTTAAGACCATTGATGGGAAAAATGTGAAGACTCACATTCCAGGCATGAATGCTGGCAGTAGAGGTGTGATTTCGGGTGTTCCCCTCTCAGTATCACTGGATGAATTCCAGAAGGAAATGACTGGAGGAAAGATTAAGGGCGCAAAGCGTATTACACGCAAAGTGGACGGCGCAACGGTTGAAACCTTGTCAATTGTGATAGTATTTGAAGAATGCCTCCCGGATAAGGTAATGCTTGGATTCTTTTGTTACCCGGTTAGGGAATACATCCCTCCTGCACTGAGGTGTTTCAAGTGCCAGAGAATGGGCCATACTGTAAGTCAATGCAAAGGGAAAGAAAGGTGCGCACGGTGTGGTGGAAACCACAGCTATGGCAAATGTGAGAAAGATGCCCCAGTGAAATGCTGCAACTGTGGAGGGAATCATAGTGCTGCGTTTGCTGGGTGTAGAGTGCAAAAGCAAGCTAGAGAAGTTCAAAAAGTGAAGGTGGTTAATAAAGTGTCCTATGCTGAAGCCCTGAAAAAAGTGCAGATACAAACTAAAGAAATGTCATGTATTGATGTTACATTAGTGTCTGCTGGTGTGGCCAATTCATGTGTGTGGAATGTAGGAAGTGACAGTCATGGCAGTGACCATTTCCCAATTTATTGTACAATCAATATTGGTAAACACCTGCAAAACGGCCCTATTCTTTCCAGGTGGTGCTTTAAAAAGGCAAATTGGGAGGCATTTAAGGAAAAGTGTAGACAAGTAAGCCTTGGATATTAATCTGAGCTTAGATATTGATGAGTGTGTGCGAGAAGTATCAACTATGCTAAGTACTGCTGCTTTGGAGTATATTCCCAAAAATACCATTAAAGGTAATAAAAAAATTGTTCCTTGGTGGAATGAGGAGTGCAGCTTAGCTGTTAAGGATCGTAATAAAGCATTGAGGACTCTAAAGGAGAATGTGTGTATTGAAAATGTAATTGAGTACAAGAAGAAAAGAGCTAAGGCACGTAAAATCATTAAAACGACAAAGAATAATACATGGAGGGAGTTTTGTGCTAACCTTGGAAGGACAAGCAGCAGGATGGTCTGGAGTATGATGAAGAAAATGAGTGGGAAAAGAGTTGCTACTAGGATTCCAGTTCTGGTTGATGGTGGAAATGTAGCTGTAATAGATTCAGATAAGGCTAGTCTGTTAGGGAAAGAGTTTGCTGGTGTGCATAGTGGAAATCACTTGACAGATATGCATAGACAGAGGAAATGTGAGATGCTCACTGAATTTGAAAATGAAGTAAGGAGGAAGTGTGAGAGTAACTCTGTTATGGATGTAGATTTTACTATGGCAGAACTTAAAGGTGCGCTGCAAGGTAGTAAGAATTCAGCTCCAGGGAGTGACCAGCTTAGTTATGTTCAGAAACCTTCCCAATGAAGCCTTAAAAATTGTGCTGGAATGTTTTAATAAAATCTGGGACAAGGGTACATTACCAGAAAGCTGGAAAACTGCAGTTATCTTACACTTTGCTAAACCTGGGAAAGATGCAAATAGTGCCAAGAATTATAGACCAATTGCCCTGACGTCTCACTTATGTAAGTGGATGGAAAAAATGATTGTTGCAAGAATGGCTTATTATCTAGAGAAGAATAGTCTGTTCAGTAAATATCAACATGGTTTCAGAAAGGGTAGATCAACAGCAGATGCTTTGATTAAAGTCAGCAATGAAATAGAAAAGGCTCTGAAAATGAAAGAGGTATTTGTCATTGTCTTCTTTGACATTGAGAAGGCTTATGATTCAATGTGGAGAGAGGGTCTCCTCATTAAAATGAGTAGAATGGGTCTTGGAGGGAAAATGTTTAATTGGATGAAAAGTTTTTTATCTGAACGAAAATTCCAAGTCAAAGTGGGCAGTGCTATATCTGAGAATTTTGACATTGTTAATGGAATTCCACAAGGTAGTGTGGTAAGCCCAGTTATGTTCAACTTGATGATTAATGATATCTTTGATTCGATTTGGGATGGCATTCAGTCTTCACTATATGCAGATGATGGAGCAGTGTGGAAAAGGGGTAAGAATATTAAACACGTATTTAAATTTATGCAAAAAGCTATTTGTGCAGTGGAAAAATGGTCGTATGAGTGGGGGTTTAAGATTTCAATTGAGAAATCATGTTACATGGTAATCAGTAGGAAAAAGATTGCATGCTTTCCAGCTCTTCATCTGTACAATTGTCAGATGGAAAAAGTAACTCATTTCAAATATCTGGGGATGTGGTTTGATGAGAAGCTCAGCTGGGGTAAACATGTAGACGTCAATGCTGATTCGTAGCCCGCCATAAAATTACAGAAGAAGAAGAAGAAGTCCCCTGTGTAAAATGATCCTGTCCTGTCCGTGCTCCTGAGGACATGGGCTACAGACGAAGGTGGGGGACACCACGTGACCCAGGAACACACGCAATTAGGTGTAACTTTCTGAACTTGGCAGAGTATGACTCCGCCACAGTCCTAATGCTGTTTATGCTTTATGTTTATGTCCAGCATGCGTACACTCATATATACAGTCTATGGTACATTTTATGACGTCTTTCTGTCTCCAGGCTCGTGTGGGCGCTGCTCCTGTGTACGTGTCTGGTCCATGGTGAGTATTTCATCATCTACACTTTAAAAGTGATGTTGCAATTATCAGTAGCTCATACTTCCTCCTGAAAACTGAAGGGTTGGTGTCTCTCTCCCTCTCTCTCATGATAGAATGATCTATTGCAGAGTGTCAAACACTGGCCCGCGGGCAAATTTTATGTAATTTTATTTGGCCCTTGAAGCAATATCAAATAAACATTAGAGCTGGCCCGCCGATATTATACAGTGGTCATTCACTGCTAATTCTATAAATCCCATAATACTCAGCTGATGTTTTGGCGCGCCCACCTCTCCTCATGTTCGGCAGCATTTATCTATGTGAGCGACTTTCCTCCTCAGTGAAGATGACAAAAACTGACTGATGAACACCTTTGTTTGCCTGAGCTCAAAGCCTGAACCCCAACATGAGGTCTTAATGAACTAGCATCCAAGAAAATATGCCAGGTATCCGGGCACACCTGACCAAACTAACCAAACTGAGCAGTAAAAAGGCCTGAATGTTTGATTTATTCATTGTTATTTTATTTTCAAATTTATCAGCCTGTGTTGATACTTACCTCAGAAGGCTGCAAATAGAAAAGACATATTCAATTTGTATTTAAATTTTTTTATATGCCATTGATATTTTTAAATGATTATTATTATTATTAAACTCTATTTTGCATGTCACTACAAAGATATAAAAGCCTTGCTTGTTCAATATTCAATGCAAAACTTGTTTGGGTCCTTATTAAAAGGTTAATTTGTTGAACCTTGGCGCGGCTTTGTTCAGTTTTAAATTTTGGCCCACTCTGTAGTAGTTTGACACACCTGATCTAATGGGACTAAAATCTTGGTATTTTGTGGGAAGAGAAAATTATTCACATTTTGTTTTTAATGTAAATATGTGCTAAAGCAAGTAACGTTTGGGGTAAGAGCAGTTCATTTGTGAAAGGACTGGGAATAGGGTGACATTTCTACCTTTTTCAATCGGAGAGCTACATTTATACAACAGAAGAAGCCGAGAGCTACTCCTAATCTATGTAGATAGAGAACACATGTCAAATATACCATAATAATACTAATAATAGATATGTAATGACTCCAAACATATTCATTGAAGATCGTGTGGGAACTCCTGAGCTACAGGTCGAGGCCCCCTGCTTTAGAGCCTTCTCATATGTTTCCTCAGAGCTGCTCGGAGCGGTCTCTGTGGGGGACACTGTGACCCTCTTCTGTAACTACACCCGCGGCGACCCCCCCCTGCCCCCCTCCCCCACCATCATCTGGAAAAGCCCCTCAGGAGAAACTCTGTCCAACTCCAAAGACTTCAACCTCACACTGAAGAACGTGAGCAGGAGCCAGAGCGGCACCTACACCTGCCACATCCCGGACGTGAGGTTTCAGAGGACCGTGAAGCTGAGCGTGACCGGTGAGGCATGTTCAACACTGAGTACTACTGAGACACAGCCAGCAGGGGCACCAGAGAGCACAGGGGACAGCTTTATGTTTGCATGTATGTATTTTTTTAGCTGTATATGTGTTGAAATCCGTGGGGGCGGGTCCCGGCTCCAAAAGGTCCATGAGTACGTGCGCTGACACGCTGAAATCTCTTTCCGGGCCCTTGGGGGTAGACATGGTATAACAATTACCTAATGCTTATGTAACGTATGCCGCCTTCTTTCCTCGCAAAAACATCTCTACAGGATGGTCCCAAAGTCGGCTCTTGGACCAACTCTAGCATTTCCCCTCAGCATTGAGCATTTTGCAAATGCCCAAAGACGGCGAAAAGTGGTGGTACATTAGTTTCAACGGGGGAGATAGGCGTGACTACGTTAATATCTACAGTCTATGGATACACACAGTCCCCCTTCATGTTGATTGTGTTTCTAGTGTAAACCATGGTATCTCTGTCTGGTCTCTCTCTCTGATCTCCATCTGGTCTCTCTCTAGTCTCTCTCTCTGATCTCACTCTGGTCTCTCTCTCTGATCTCACTCTGGTCTCTCTCTCTGATCTCTCTCTGGTCTCTCTCTGATCTCTCTCTGGTCTCTCTCTCTGATCTCTCTCTGGTCTCTCTCTGGTCTCTCTCTGGTCTCTCTCTGATCTCACTCTGGTCTCTCTCTCTGATCTCTCTCTGGTCTCTCTCTGGTCTCTCTCTGGTCTCTCTCTGGTCTCCATCTGGTCTCTCTCTAGTCTCTCTGGTCTATCTCTGGTCTCTTTAGACTCTCTCTCTGGTCTCTTTAGACTCTCTCTCTGGTCTCTCTCTCTGGTCTATCTCTGGTCTCTTTAGACTCTCTCTCTGGTCTCTTTAGACTCTCTCTCTAGTCTCTCTCTCGGATCTCCATCTGGTCTCTCTGGTCTCCCTGATCTCTCTCTTTCTGTGTTTTTCAGATAAAGTGATAGTTCCAGACGTAGAGGACCGGAGTGTTCCTACAGGGGGCGCTGTGGGTCTCATTGGGTCCTTTCTTCACGTCCTCATTCTTCTCCTGTTATTTTACTAAAACACGCACACAGAAACAACATACTTTTGTGTTTAAAATCTAACGTTGTAGAAGTAAGTTATTCTTTATTTATCTAGCACCTTTCTCAAACAGTCAAAGTGCTTTCCGGGGGCGTGGCTGAGCTGTTCATGGAGTAGGACGTGTGATTGCGGGCTCCTGCCGAATACGATTAAAAAGTAACATTTATTTGCGCTTTTATTTACAAATCTTACATGGTTGCTTAGTTGAAGCACATATTCATATGAAGTGAGTCGTACAGTCACGTTTAAATGTTTGGAAAGAACGCAATTAGGAAGTCTCGGACCACCATCCAGACGCAGCTACCTCCTAGCATGCAGGCTAACGCTGGTGCTACAGATGTGCAGCTAGCATCGAGCGAACCTGGCGCTACCCTGTCCGAGGCTGGATCTAGACACGTCGCAGACACTGATGTCTTGAAACTCGAGATTTTATCATCGCTTAAAGAAGACATTGCTGGAATTATCAAGAAAGAGCTCCAGGATGCCCTTGTGCCCGCGCTAACGCCAGTAAGGTCTGACTTGCAGGCTCTGCAGGCACAGCTAGCGGCTAACAAGGCTGCTACTGATGCTATACTGACTACACTGAAAGGTACAGTTGAGGACATGGAGACGGCTCTGTCTGAATGCACGGATGATATAACCAATTTGAAAACTACTGTGGCACATCTCACTGCAACTGTAACCAGACTGGAAGGTAAATGTGAAAATCTCGAGGCCAGATCGAGACGTCAAAACATAAGAATTTTTGAGTCCACCAGGGTCCCAAAACCTGCACCACTACTGTTGTCGCTGCCCTGCTTAAAGAGCAACTAAACACCTGTGCACAGCCTTACTCCGCCCACATGAACATTTGAAAAGTTTCTTTTAAAAGGGCGTTGCCTCGAGGACCAAGGGACAAGAACGGGGGTTTAGAGTTGGGCGTGGTCTGGGCTGTGATTGACAGCTCACTTGTCTCACAAAAAAAAAGACAGTTGTCATTGCTGCTCAAAGCAATAGTTTACAGACCAGAAAGTCTCATTCCACCCTTGTTTACACACTTAGATAATTGTAAAGCTACACACCTGAACCTAATCACACTCAATAATCTCAGAATGACTCATGTAATTTAATTTTAATCCACTAGATGGCGCCAGAATACTCCAAACTGCAGCTGGGGGTGTGTGAGAGTTGAATGGGTTTATATCACTGGCTCTGACAGACTGACATCACACAAAACAACTGATGTCATAGAGAACTTCAGAGTCAATGGAGAGGCCAGAACCAAATTCAAATGTAGTACCACCAAAAAGGTTGAGAGGGCACCACACAGACGTTTTTTGGCTCAAAAGTGATATTTTATCTAGTTTGAACTAAAATGTCAAAAAAATGACCAGGATATGTAGAGAGCACTACAATAAACATATTTATACAGTTTATGAGTTGAAAAAAGTTGATTTGGTGTTTAGTCGCTCTTTAAAGAGACCCTCGGGTTGGACAACGAGCCCCGTCTGGACCGGTCTCATCGAACCGCGCCTCGTCAATCAGCACCAGGAGAGCGCACGCATCCCAGAGCTATCGTCTGTCGGCTTCACTACTACAGCGACTGTGTGGACATTTTACGTCGTGCGAGAGAGCGGGGACAGATAAAGGTGCGTGATATGACAATCTCTGTTTTCCCTGACTACACTGACGGCGTGGCTCGGGCTGCATTCAATGATGTGAGGCGACAACTCCGAAACATCGAGGGCGCCCGGTATGGTCTGTTCTACCCAGCGCGGCTCCGGATTACCTACGGGGGAGCAGAGAAGGAATTCACCTCCGCTGATGACGCTGGACAATACGTGAAGACCATGACAACAGGGTAATTTGAGGATACACCGGAATGGCCTCATCTCTAAGACATTCTTTCACTTCTTTTTCACTATTCAATATAAGTCTGATCAACAATGCAGCTTCTCATTTACGTAGAAATTTGGTGATTCACATTTGCTATTATGTGCATACGTTTATGTACAATTTGTGCTGCGCATATAAGTTAAATCTTACCTTTTGTGACACTGTTCGAATGCCATTACAATGCGCACTTTGATTTTAGGATATGTGTTCGGTGGGAGTCCCTTCACATTATCTTTCTTAGCTAACTAATTTTATTTCTTGCTTCTTAGAATAGTTTAGTTGACTCCGAAGTGCTTACTTTAAGTGAGCATGGTTTTCTTCTGTGCTAAATACACTGCTGTCCCCACTGTTGGAAAGTTTTTGGGGGACTTTGGGTGTTTTTTGTTTTTTAGGGGAATTGGGGGGAGGGGGGCCGTCTCAGCTCTATGTTATTTGATCAAATGGCTAGTACCACCGTGAATCCTAAAATGGCCGGGCCTGGCACACCTTGCAGATTTATAAGTTGGAATGTCAGAGGGATGGGCAACCCTGTCAAGAGATCTAAAGTGTTCTCACATCTGAAACGTCAGAAGCCTTCCATAGTGTTCTTGCAGGAGACTCACCTTAGAAATAATGTCCATCACAGATTGCGCTGTCCTTGGGTGAGTCAGATTTTTCATTCTGACTTTAATTCAAAAGCGAGAGGAGTTGCCATTTTGATCCATAAAAATGTACAATTCTTTTCCACTAAGGTTATAGCTGATAAACAAGGTAGATTTTTAGGCCCGAGCCCCGACCGGGGAAAGGGCCTATTGTTTTTGCTCAAGAGATGTCAAATTCTGCCCTTTGAGCCTTAATTTCACCCCCTGAACATGCATGAAAAGTTGTAAAATTTTGCCCAAACATCAGACCTGGTGAAAAATTTGATATTGGTGTTTTTTTTTTATGGGACTCAAAAAATGCCAGAACAGCGCCACCTACAACAGCTAATGGGAGTTTCAGAGGTCAAGTTTGTCGTAGAGCCATGAAATTCGGTCCGCCCTCTGACAAACAGGAGGCCCATAAATCTCACTGCAAAATGGAAAAATGATCCGCAATCATTTTCGTACATGTCAGTTGGAAAGCGACTCCTCCTCGGCCGTTTCACCGATTGGCCTCCATATCACTCCACATTGTCTAAACACATGTACCATCAAAATGACCTCAGGGATTTTTGATCAGTGAAACGTTGTTTGAGCAGCGGAGCGGCAAAATGTGAGTGTTTTTTGACAGTTTTTTACAACATTCTATTTGCTCCCGTTTACACATACAAATTCCGATTTGCACAAAACTTGAATCCATGGTTCAACTCTAGGGTCTAGGTCATTTGAAAGTGAAATAATTGAACTTGGCTCATTAACGCCCCCTACAGACTATTTCAGAGTTTTTAGTATGAAAAACTCTGAAAACTTTGACTCTATCTGTAGGGGCACTAATGAGCCAAATTCTTTTATTTCACTTTCAATTGACCTAGACCCTAGAGTTAAACAATGTATTAAAGTTTTGTGCAAATCAGACTTTGTTTGTGCAAACGGGAGCAAATTTAATATTGTCCAAAACGGCCAAAAAAAAGTCACATGCAGCTCCCCTGTTCGAACAACGTTTCACTGATGAAAAATCACCGAAGTCATTTTCAAGGTACATGTGTTGAGATGATCTGGAGCGATTTTGAGGCGAATCGGTGAAACGGCCGAGGAGGAGTCGCTTTCCAACCGACATGTATGAAAATTATTGCTGTTCATTTTTCCATTTTGCAGTGAAATTTATGGGCTTCCTGTATGTCAGAGGGTGGGGCCATAATAACATTTTTTTCATGTCTTGACTAGAGGAACATGTGTACCGAATTTCATGGCTCTACGAAAAACTTGACCTCCGAAAAATCCCATGGGGGTATTATTAGGCCCGAGCCCCGAACGGGGAAAGGGCCTATTGTTTTTGCTCGAGAGATGTCAAATTCTGCACTTTGAGCCTTAATTTCACCCCCTGAACATGCATGAAAAGTTGTACAATTTTGCCCAAACATCAGACCTGGTGAAAAATTTGATATTTGGGTGTTTATTTTTATGGGACTCAAAAAATGCCAGAACAGCGCCACCTACAACAGCCAATGGGAGTTTCAGAGGTCAAGTTTGTCGTAGAGCCATGAAATTCGGTACACATGTTCCTCAAGTCAAGATAGATGAAGATAAAGTCGAACTAGCAAAATGATGAGATTAATCTCAAAATGTTATGAGATTAATTTAAAAATATATTATGTTTTAATTTAAAAATGAATCTCAAAATGTTATGAGATTAATCTAAAAGTATTTTGGACCCTGAGAGGAGATCCAGCACTGAGACCAATGCAGACCCGAGGAGAGACTGGAGAGACCAGCACACAGAAACCAGAGCGGACCGAGGAGACACCGCATAGACTGAGACCAGCGCGGACCGAAGAGAGACCGCATAGACTGAGACCAGCGCGGACCGAAGAGAAACCGCATAGACTGAGACCAGCGCGGACCGAAGAAAGACCGCATAGACTGAGACCAGCGCGGACCGAGGAGAGACCGCATAGACTGAGACCAGCGCGGACCGAAGAAAGACCGCATAGACTGAGACCAGCGCGGACCGCATGAGACCAGCATGAGATCAGCGCGGACCGAAGAGAGACCGCAGCGACTGGAGAGACCATATGGAGAGACCAGCGCGGTCCTCCTGCTGCAGCAATATATATTATAGGGCGGCAGTAGCTCAGTTGGTAGAGCGTTGGCCTTTGAGCCAGAAGGTCGTGGGTTCAAGCCCCACTCAAGACTTTCACCATCGACTCCCACTGACTACTGTTGTTGGGTCCTTGGCAAGACACTTAACCTCTGGGAACACCAGCCACAGTGAGGCGACTGCGGCTGTAAGGTGGCAAACTGCTGTTGTGTCCTTAGGCAAGACACTTCACCCCCATTGCCTAGAATGAGTCTGGTGTGTGTATGAATGGTTGGTGGTGGTCGGAGGGGCCGATGGCGCATACTGGTTGCATCGCTTCTGTCAGTGTGCCCCAGGGCAGCTGTGGCTACAGTAGTAGTTTATCACCACTGTGTATGGAGTGAATGAATAATGACACATGTGAAGCGTCTTTGAGTGTCCAAAAAAAGCGCTATATAAAACCGATGTATTATTATTATTATATTCCATTGCTTTGTGACCCGTGGATGGATAAATGTCCCCTATCAATAGGATGGGGTCACTAACGGCATGATTTTCAATGTATTTGTGATAGTAGAGTTGTTGGATTTTCATTAAAGTGAATTAGAATATATTCAAACTTTAGACAGCTTTGGGTTAACCTACGTGTGTGATGGGATGCAGCATTCTCCCATCCCCCAGTCATGAGTGAAAGACTAGTCTAAATAAGCAGGAAGCCGAAAACATCTGTTTTCAGTAGATCTCATGTTTATTTAGAGGGAAGCCACGTCTTCTCCGAGGGAGAGGAAGGTGGGACATATTGTTGCATGTGTTTCAAATTATCATGGTATAAGACCAGAGCTCTTTGTCCATTCTTTGTCACTGCTGCTACATCTAGCTGACCCAGACTGGTGCAGTCTGTAAACTTGTCTGTTTGTGCTGATGTCGAGATAACTTGTAGTTTTGAACCAGCGGCTAACAACATGTATTAAAGAGATTATGTTGTTGAAATGTGACTAGTTTATTCACAATTTGATAAAGCGTTGGCGCATTAAGTTTACAAATGAATTTTAAAAATGACTAAATTACCATAAACAATTAAATAAATAAATAAATACATCAATATAGCAAACATATCACTGTAATGTTGTATTTTATTGAACTTCACAACACGAGCGTGCGAACATGTCGGCACTGAATGTGCGTAAGAGTGCTCCTGAGCACTCGTAGGATTTGTACTTACCCAATAGAAATTCTGCTTACGAGAAGTAAATGCCACATTCTTCGTAAAATCCTCGTAAGTAGGATTACGCACAAATTTGTTCGTAAGAATAACTTCTTAAGAAACTTCTTAAATTTCTTCTCAAGTCGTTCTTAAGTAGATTTCTAAGAAGAGCCTACGTGGGATTCATCAATGCGCTCGTAAGCCTCTGAATTGTTCGCAGCTGTTCTCTTAGATTGATGAATGCCATCTCCTCTTAAGTAGAGCGCGTGCCTTATGCTTCATTACCATAGGTACTTACCATAGGTAACCGCCTACTAATGCCCATATAAGGGACTGCAGGGCCGTGTGCAGACGCCAGAGGAAACAGCAACAGGCCAAAGAGTTACGGAGCCAAACACTCACCCTTTTCTCTTCTTTTGCCAGACTGAGAATAAAGTCAAAACATGTTGACTTTAAAGTCAAGATATTATGAGAATAAAGTCAAACTAGCAAAATTATTAGATTAATAAAAAAATATGAGATTAATCTCAAAATTTTATGAGATTAATCTCAAAATATTTTGGACCCTGAGGAGATCCAGCACGGACCAGCGCTGAGACCACTACAGACCCGAGGAGAGACTTGAGTGACCAGCACACAGAAACTAGCGCGGACCGAGGAGAGGCCGTAGACTGGAGAGACCGGTGCACAGAGACCAGCGCGGACCGAAGCGAGACCGCATAGACTGGAGAGACCGGCGCCCAGAGACCAGCGCGGACCGAGGAGAGGCCGTAGACTGAAGACTGGAGAGACCGGTGCGCAGAGACCAGCGCGGACTGAAGAGAGACCGCATAGACCATAGACTGGACAGACCAGCGCGGTCCTGTAATAGATTGATGGGAGAGACCAGCGAGGACCCGTATGGATCCAGGAGCATGCAGTACGGACGGACCCGTATGGATCCAGGAGCATGCAGTACGGACGGACCCGTATGGATCCAGGAGCATGCAGCACGGACGGACCCGTATGGATCCATGGGAGAGACCAGTGCAGACCCGTATAGATCCATGGGAGAGACCAGTGCAGACCCGTATCCCAAACATACGTCAGATAATCCAGAATTGGTAATTTCGCTCAACGCGGAGAAAGCTTTTGATAGGGTGGAGTGGAAGTATTTGTTTTCAGCTTTGTTTAAATTTGGCTTTGGCAATAGATTAATTGCATGGATCCGTCTCCTATACTCATCACCCAAGGCTAGTGTACATACCAACAACATTTACTCTGACTACTTCACCCTGGATCGTGGGGCACGTCAGGGTTGCCCTCTCTCGCCTCTCCTCTTTGCCATTGCAATTGAGCCTCTGTCAATCACACTGAGAGCTGCTCCATTATTTAAAGGGATAATGCAAAATAATATTCAATACAAATGATCATTGTATGCTGATGACTTGCTTCTGTATGTAACTGATTATACCACCACTATTCCAACTGTTTTGAGGATACTCTAACTTTAGCTCTTTTTCGGGGTATAAATTAAATTTTGAAAAGAGTGTATGTTTTCCAATCATCAACGCTGCTTGCAATCTTCAACAAAGTGAATTTCCTTTTAAATTTAGCCCATCTGGGTTTAAATATTTAGGTATAAACATCACAACATCATACCTCTTTGGTTTCAGCTACTTATACCCCTCTTATCACAAAAGTTTAGTCAGACTTTCAGAAATGGCGTTATCTCCCATTATCCCTTATTGGCAAGATTAATGTGATCAAAATGAATGTCTTGCCCAGATTTCTTTTCTTATTTCAGACTATCCCCAGTTTTCTTCCTAGAATCTTTTTTGATGCATCAGACAAGATTATTGGTGATTTTATTTGGGATGGGAAACCTCCTAGAGTACGGAAATCATTGTTGCAGAGGTGTAGACTTAGTGGCGGACTTGCACTGCCCAATTTCCAATCGTATCACTGGGCAGCTCACATCCATAAACTATGCTACTTACTAAAATCTCCGACAACTCTATGGTGCAAACTAGAACACTTATCATGTGAAGGTTCATCTCTTTCAGCTTTGATTTTTTTCCTCTATTTCTATAAAACTATCCTTGTATACTAACAACAGAGTGGTACTGGACACACTTAAGATTTGGTATCAGTTTAGACGTGGTTTTGGGTTTACATATTTACATACTTTACCTGGAAGTCATTTATTTCGCTACTTTCAGATTCGTAGCTTTGTTTCAAATCTATTTCCTAACTTTCCCACTGCTCCTCGAGAGCAGCCCTGGGAAATTGGGTTTTCACACAATATACATAAAAAAGGATATATCTCCAAAATATATGATTTTATACTATCTGCAAATGATCAATCCAGTTTGAAAATTAAAAAAGCATGGGAAATGGAGTTGGGTATTTTTATAAATGAGGAACTTTGGGACAAATCTAGAATACGTACTATCTCATGTGCTCGGCTCAGTCTGATACAATTTGAAGTTTTATACAGGGTACACTTCTCCAAGTCAAGACTTTCTGAAATATTTCCTGAAACTGAAGACAAATGCGATAGCTCTGCCTTCAACACGATCCTGCCATCCCTGCTCCAGGACAAGCTCTCCCAGCTCAACGTGCCCGATTCCACCTGCAGGTGGATCACTGACTTCCTGACGGACAGGAAGCAGCGAGTGCGTCTGGGGAAGAATGTCTCGGACTCTCGGAATTATAAATACAGGAGCCCCACAGGGCTGTGTTCTTTCTCCCCTGCTCTTCTCCCTGTACACCAACCACTGCACCTCCAGCCACGACTCCGTGAAGCTGCTCAAGTTCGCGGATGACACCACCCTCATTGGACTCATCTCCAACAACGATGAGTCCGCCTACAGGAGGGAGGTGGACCGGCTGGTGTTCTGGTGCAGTGGTAACAACCTGGAGCTGAACGCCCAGAAGACAGTGGAGATGATTGTGGACTTCAGGAAGAGCACTGTCCCCCCGCCCCCACCCTCCGTGATGGACTCTCCCATCACCTCTGTGGAGTCCTATCGTTTCCTGGGCACCACCATCACACAGGGACCTCAAGTGCTTCCTCATCAAGAAGGCCCAGCAGAGGATGTACTTCTTGCGGCAGCTCAGGAAAGCCAAGCTGCCTGCACAGATGTTGGTGCAGTTCTACACGGCCATCATCGAGTCCATCCTCACCTCCTCCATCACCGTGTGGTTCGCTGGAGCCACAGTCAGGGACAAACAGAGACTACAGCGCATTGTGCGCTCTGCAGAGGAAGTGATCGGCCGCAGCCTTCCATCGCTGCAGGACCTGTACGTCGCCCGAGCTCGAGGCCGGGCTGGTCGTATCACAGCCGACCCCTCTCACCCTGCACATGGACTATTCCAACCACTCCCCTCAGGCAGGAGGCTGTGGTCCATCAGGACTAGAACCTCCCGCCACAAGAACAGTTTCTTCCCCTCTGCTGTTGGACTCTTGAACACTTCTTAACCTGTCCCCCCGCCCTTTATAAAGTCACTTTACTGCCCATCATACGTCACTTTACTTCACTGTACTGCTGACACCTTACATTGTGTGCACCATGTGCACTTGTATATTGTAAATAGTAACTGTAACTGTATTTTAAATTTAAGTTTATTCCTTAGAAGTGGTTTTTATTCTTTTTATTTTTTATTTTATTCTCTCTCTCTGACTGTTGCACTGAGCCAAAGCAATTTCCAAGTCTGTGACTTCCTGTTACTTACGTGGCAATAAAATTATTCTGATTCTGAGTATCTGACTCTTTGGGCTGAGTGGGGGTGGTCTTCTCTTTGATCTAAAAATGTGACATCACAAATAAATATTGTGAAACTAGTCCCAGAAGCAACTTTTTTGAGCCAGAACTGGATTTAATAGAGTTCTATTGGTCTGAAAGTTAGAATCAGTTTTAAAGTTACAGACCCCAGCTTTAGTCAGAAAATCTATATATTTGTAAAAACTTCTTCCTCTTTACACAAACCACAAAGTGACGGTTTTACAAGAAAGATGAAAAATGACAAACAGGAAGTAACACCAGTCGCTCAGAAAAACCTGTAACCAGAAATCGCAGAGCACCAGCATGTCGGTGCCCCTGCTCCTGATCCGGCTTCTGGTCCTGGGTCTGGTCCACCCTCAGACCACGGTCCCGGTCCGGGTCCAGCTGGGTCAGTCTGTGGTCCTGCAGTGCTCTCTGAGTCCGGACCAGAGCTGGTGGTTCATGGAGGTGCACAGTGGTCTTCAGAGCTGCATCAGCCAGAACCTGGCTCTGAATCAAACCAGCTTCTACTCAGTGTCTGAGTCTGAGAAGTTCTCTGTGGAGAGCAGCAACCTGACCATCCACAACTTGAGCCAGTCCGACCTGAGGACCTACAGCTGCGTGAAGGTCCAGGCCACACAGAACCTCAAGTACGGCTTCCACCAGATGTTTGAGGAGAGGCACAGATACACGCTGAACTCAGGTTAGACCCGCTGCTCCTCACCAACATGCAGGACATTCTGGCTCAGATGAACATCCCTGTGTTTGCAGATGAGGACTCTACAATCCAGGACCTAGGTCTGGACCAGGTCGGGACCTTCAGGCTCCTCCTGGTCTCAGCAGCTCTGAACCTGCTCCTCACTGTTACAGGTGAAACTCTGTTCTATGTTCTGGTTAGAAACAGACAAACTCAGACACACACACTCACAAATCTCTGTGTGTGTTTTCTCAGTGTTGGGGCTGTTATGTTTGTGGAGGAGAGGTTCCAAAGCTGTAGTCCAGGAACACACAGAGGTTCAGGTACAATGCACGCACACACACACACATACACATACAGGCACACAAAGAGCAGACAGACAAGTACAACTGTGTGGTTTATTTCAGTATGAGGAGATCCAGCACAGTCCCAGACCAAGTCCCGGACCAAGACTCGGACCAGGACCAGGACTCCGAGCTCATCCTCCCTTCGACTTCTACTGCAAAGTCCAGCTGCCCATAGCCCCTCCTTCGCTCTCAAAGCCCCGCCCCCTGTGAATGTCCCGTACTGTTTAAGCGTTCATCTGAGCCAAAACGCCCTCTGCTCCCGTCAGTGTCTCAGTAGTTTTCCTTTTGTCACTCACAGGGATTTTTGCTTAAAGGGGGAAAATCCACTGATTTCTGACTTGACCCTCGCTCAGTGCTGCCTGAGTGGCCTTTGACGTTTCTGTTATTTTGACGTTTGGTGAAATAAACAGAACATTTATTATTGATAAAGTCTTGAATGTGTCTGTGGAGTTTGTGCTATGGTGATGTCACACGCAGACAGAATGAGCTGCTGTTTCAAGTCATGGGACCAAGTCATGAGTCCAGACCCAAACAAGGCTAGACCGGGACTGGAGACGGGACCCTTTTTTGGTTCCAACCTGAGCAGGAGTAACACCAGACTCCACTCATTTCTTCAAAAATCTTCAGGTTAACTCTGGACTCGCCTGAGAAAATGGGTGGAGTCTGGTGTGTTCCTGATTCTCTCTGAATTAAAACCGTTTAGAGGGATAGTCTGACATCTTTGCACTAGATGATCAGTGACTCCTAAAGCGAAGAGGCTTAGTATGACCCCTACGGGAAAAAAAATCTTGTGGAAAACCGGGACTAAGTATAGCCTTTAATCCTATTGAAATGTTCTGGCGGTTATGTTCTGTCTCAGTGCAGAATAGGCTGACAGTCTAGAACACAATGTAAAAGGCTTGAATGATAGATGCACAATACTTTTTTCTGATTTCGCACATTTTACTCAGGGAAAACAAATCACGCATTTCTCGACACTGGCTTCACTGATTCCTTTTCAGAAAGCGATGCCAGTCGGACATTATTTTCAGAAAGTAAACAGCAGCATAGATTTTGGCGCCTTTTTTTTATCAACAAGTGCACAGCCAATCCCTGCACACAGAGCTCTGGAGCCTGTGGAGGGGCGAGGAGGAGAACATGAATAAACTAGACATCAACATTGGACAGGACATCTATTTATTATATTGATCCTTCCAAAATGTTGTTCAGCAGGCTCTTTTCTCCTCTGCCTTTACCGCAAATGGGCGTCCAATTTGCGATACTTCCACTACATTTTCAATCGATGGCGTTTTATTACAGCGTGTTTGTGAAAAGAACCTGTTGTCGTGTCGATAAACCCAATATGGTGTGGAGCGGGTGACTTTTACAGCTCTGTCAGGCCCTGTAGTCTGGCTCATATGAAACTCTTAAATCTCACACGGTAAAAATTTCACTGCGGCGGCTGTAAACGGCCGCACACAACAACGATGAAGGACGGAAAGGGGAAAAAAATAAAAAAAATTAGAACAGACCCAAACCTGTGTCTGTCCTGCGGATGATGGATGGGCAAAACGTACGGGGAATAATATATTGTGACAGAAATTCTTTTAAAAACGTTAATAAAAACTCAGTGAGAATCTTTTGTTGTGTTGTTAAGTGAAAAGGCAAATGCTGATGACGCAAAATTGTCTAAATGCTCTAGTGTGGAACTCTTTACACTCTGGGATGACAGGTGAAACTCTGAAAATTAAAAATAGATAAGAATATTGTTCAAAAGTTCATTATATTCTGTAATCCAACTTAAAATATGAATCCAACACATGATATAGACTGATATATGCCAAGCCTTTGCTTTTGTTTTTTTGTGCAATTTTGATAATAGTACATTTTCTAAATATACTGTATACCATACTTTCTGGACTTTTTGACAGACCTGTGTATAAACCGCACCAGCAATAATTGAGATTAAAGTAAATTTTTTCCACATATAGGCTGCACTTGAATATAGGCTGCAGGTTGTCTTGTTGTTATAGATGGATTTATAGAAAGATACTTTATTGATCCCCGTAGCAGCAGAAAACTCATCCATATAAACACATTTGTACATCAATTATAAACAATTTTAACTAACTAACATTTCTAGCTAACAATAGTGCATATTTTTAACACCTCCAAGTCTGTTGAACAGTCTGACAGTCGAAAGGAACAAAGGATCTTTTGAAATATTCCGTTCGGGAGCGTAGTGATAGGAGCCTGCTGCTTCGATTACTCCTCTGAGCAGCCATAGTGTCATGCAGAGGGTGTCTGGAGTTACCCAGGATGCCCTGCAGTAGAGCCCTCATCCTTCTCTCCAGCACAGCTCCCACAGAGTCCACACTTCTCCCCATCACAGAGACACATTTCCTGATCAGCCTGTCGAGCCGGTTACTGTCTCTTGAGGTCAGACTGCCCCCAACACGAGACCCCAAGAACACGGCACTAGATGTAGTAGATAGATTACTTTAACTGGTCACATGATTTTATGACGAGGTGTTTAGCCGGTTTCTTCCGCGACTCATTCACCAGTCGATTTTGACAATAAACGGGTCTCCATATGCAGCTTGACTGACAACTGGAACTCTAAATGAATAACATATTTTAAGAATTGTATTAAATTGACCATCTGGCCTTAAATGTTGATATGAAATAAGTTATTTTATGAATTCTAATATTACGAGTAAGTCTCGCCTTCCCTTCTCTTAGCTATAGCTCAAAATCCACAATGCCGTCCAGTTTAACCAATCAAGTGATGCCAAGGGCTGTCAATCATCGGCGCTCATGCTCGTTGCTGCTCATGCTCAGTTGTTTGTTTTAACGGAACCTCAGAATCAAGCCACCATTAGGCTCTGGAACTTCATGAAAACTGAACAAAGAATTCTGAACATCTGCGCTGAGTTACCCATTTATATACTGAACCTATATCCATAATCATTTATATACTGAACCTATATCCATAATCATTTATATACTGAACCTATATCCATAATCATTTATATACTGAACCTATATCCATAATCATTTATATACTGAACCTATATCCATAATGAGATACTCTGAAAATGTGTCGTATAATGTTCAATTAATGTTCATATCTACTTCCGGGTTTACCTCAATCGTTTTTTTGTGCATTAAAACATTATTTTTGTCACGAACACGTTAAAAAATAATTCTGAAAACCTCCGTGCGTGTGTATTAATAATGTATATGTATAATGTGTTCTCAGATTAACATTTAAATGTGTTATTGATTGTTACGGAAACGTAGGCGTAGACCAATCAGAAAGGAAGGGGGAGGAGCTTGGGTTCCTCTTTTTTTTCTCTGACAAACTACAGACAGACTTTATTTCTAAGTCTAACCTGAGTCTTACCTATGTATGTTCCATGCTGAATACAAGAGGACTGTTTTAAGCCCTCTTGAAAGTAGAGACTGTGAGTTTCTTCCTTGACGTGGATGGGTAGCTGATTCCACGGTACAGGAGCTTGGTCGCTTCACGCCGACAATATTTTTTTGACGCTTTAGGAACCAAGGAGGATTCTGAACTCCCCATGAAGCCAGCGAGTGGGAGTCGCTCAAACACGGCTCCACAGCTCGTTTCGCTGTCATTATGAGAAGTGTTGTCTTTCTAAATGGAGTTTGTATGTTCTCCCCGTGTCTGTGTAGGTTTCCTCCGGGTGCTCTGGTTGCCCTCACTACTAAAACATGTACAATAGGACAGACTTGTGCGTCCTGCGTGTAGTAGGGGCTCTCATCTCTTTGTGGAGTAAGAGACGAATGCCCACAATTGTAATGTGCTTTGTGAGTCTCGTCTGTGAAAGGCGCTATATAAAAAAAGATGACTTTCTTACTTAAATTACTGTGAGTGTTCAGAGTGGTCAGAGTTATCTACCTCATTAAAATATTGAACAAATAAATAAAAATAATGAATTAATTTGGGTCAAAGGAACAAACAGCTTTTCTTTGATATTCTTTGTGAAGAGATTGCTTATTTTCAACACGTATGACGCCTTTACAACACCGCTATTGTTTTGATCCATCGACTCTTCTTTTCAAACACAATTTCACAACATCCTGTAATGTTTAGCAAAGAGAAGTGGCGAAATAATGCTGTCAACGAAACCAAACTATGCAGTGGTCTTGTGGCTCATGTTCACAGATTGGTATATGGCGCCCTCTGCTGTTTGTAAGACGTAACTGCACCTTTTGCATCAGATGAAGACTTCATCATGACAGCGGTTTTATCAGTGATAGGGTTAGGGTTAAGGGTTAGGGGTTCAGATTAGGGTTAAGGTTAAGGTTAGGGTTAATATTAATATAAAATCAAATTACTTCAAATCATGTTTAGTTCAATTCAATGTAATGTATTACTGTATAGCCATAAATCACTACAGATTTTTTGGAAAAGAACCACCCTCTACACCAGGGGTCTCCAACCTGTGGCTCGGGGCCTACCAGTAGCTCGCTAGCCCCTTTCATGTAGCTCCCCAAAGGATTTAAAATTTAACAAATGATCTTGAATTAATACATTTTTAGTCATTAAATGTCTATTACAAGTATAAATATAGGGTTATACAGTATTATGGTATATTTTACATGTGTTCTCCATGTGTGTCCTCTCTTGGCGTTATAATTACATGGATTTTTATTACGACTTCAAAAGGGAGTAGCTCTCTGCCTCTTCTGTTGTATAAAAGTAGCTCTCTGATTGGAAAAGGTTGGAGACCCCTGCTCTACACTTTTTGAACCAAAGTCTCTAGTCTGATTTGACGAGTACGTAAAACCAGAATGATTGACAATTGAGAGGACCACTAGTCTTAAAGATCCACCCGGAAGTAGAAAATCCTCCTATATACCTTTAAAGTTGTATTTTCTAAGTCTTACCCAAGTCTTACCTAACCATATGCTGTTTTAAGCCTGGCCTTGAATGTAGAGACTGTGTCTGCTTCCTTGACGTGGATGGGGAGCTGATTCCAGAGTGAATCTAAATGCTCTGCCTCCAACTGTGCTTATTGACACTTTAGGAACCACCAAAAGTGTGGTTAATGTGGTTCTTAAGGAAAACACATGAAGTGATCGGGCTCAGTGCATGTTACCGCTGGAACAAAGTAAAAGACTCAAGGAGAATCAAAACGTGCATAGAGAACGTGTCTTGTTTTGACAAATTTACGACTGTTAAAATTACTGGTAAAACAAAT